GGGGGGATTATGTGTCAGTCAGTTGTCACGCTGCCATTGTGTGCGTACTGGCGGTGCCGGGCGTCCTGCCCTTGGTCTTCCACTCCTTCTGCAGCTCCTTGGGTGTGGCCTTCTTGACCTCCACCCACTTGTTCTTGAACTTGTGGTACGTGTTGTGCGCAACCACCGCATCCGCACCCTCAGGACTCGCAAAGGTAATGAAACCGAACCTGACCGACCAGAGCAAAGCAGACAGACATACAGGGGGTGGATGGAGCGCTCCGTGTCCGTTCGGGTGTCATTCGCTCACCCCCTCGGCTTTTGTGTGTCCCTGTCCTTCATGAGCACGGCATCGACCACCTTGCCAAAGTTCTCAAAGTAAGAGCGGAACTCATCTGTGACACAACGCACACACACACGCACACACACACACACAGAGGACACACTGAGGCGTGCGTCAGACTCCGCGCATCGGGGTGTGTGTGTGTGTGTGTGTGAGGGTGCGTACCTTCTGTGAGGTCCGGCAGCCCGCCCACGAATATCTTTTCAGTCCTGAACGATTGAGGGACGTCAACCTGAACGGACGGACACACGACAGAAACGACACGTGGGATATGCCGGAGGTCAGTCTGTCATCCTGTGTGCCTCCCTGACGTTGTGCGAAGGCTTCGACGTCGACACGGAGGTCGTCCCCGGCAGCGCATTGCGGGGGGCTGCACGCTTCACGTCAACCTGTACCCAGACACACACACACACGCGGCCGGTGCCTCTCTGCGTGTGCGTGAGTGTGTGTGTGTGTGTGTGACTGTGTACCTCCTTGCTGTCGAGCTGGTGTTTCCTTTCCCGAAGACACCGCTCCATGCTCGGCTCGTCTGCGTAGGTCACGAAGCCGAAACCACGGCTGCGACCTGCACACGCACACGTACAATGTGTGTTGTGCGTATTTGTGTGGACGGGCGTTAACTGAGAGTGTGTGTCTGTGTCACCTGTCGAGCTGTCGTACATCACGATGGCATCGGCCAGAGGGCCGAACCGACTGAAGTACTCGTGAAGCGTCTCTGAGGCAACACACACACACACACACACACAGTACACAGTACACAGTTCGCACGCCCAGCCAGCACTTCACAAGCAAGCTCCTCTGATCTTTGTCTTTGCTCAACCGTGACAAGCTCATCGACACGAGCGCTCCCCCGCCCCCCGTGTGCGAGTGTCCCCTCCTTTGTCCCTCACCCTTGGTCGTCTCCTGGGACAGCCCTCCGATGAACAGCTTGAGACCGTCGTACACGCCGCCGCCATCAAACGACATTCCAACGCAGCGCACACAAGGACACCGTCTCTCGGGAGGCGACGCAACGCCTTACGGGCACCCTTGAGGCAGAAATGGACGGGCGGCGACGACCCAGAGATATGCGCGTCTGAGCGCCAGGTGGCGATCTCCTTGAAAAATGGTCGAGAAATGGTGTGAGAACACCTCTGTAGCTTCTCCAGAAGAGAAAATTCAGGTCGAAAGGAGAACGCAGGCCAACCTCCGAGCTAAGCTCGCGTCGTGGCCCCCACTTTGCCCCCACTTCGCCCCGCTCCAGTCGTTTCGGCAATGGGGAATCTCACTAGCAGTGCCCTGGGTACGTGTTTCGACACCGACGTCAATAGGACATACAAGAGCGGGCAGCTCGGCTTCCTGCAGACGACGAGGAAATCGCAGAGGGGCGTGTCCAGGGAGATTGCACGGGTGGGTAGGTCTGCACCATGTGAAGAGGCATGCAGCCACCTCATATCAGACGGACGCTGGTTCTGTTTCGTGCGTGTGTTCGCTTTGCTCTCGCAGGTCGGCGACCATGCCGACAGCACGGACGCGTGGGGTCTGCAGATGGCGTGTGACGCCGCTCACGACGACTACGTGAGGTGCCTGGCTGTGCTGCCCAGAAGCAACCTCATTGTGAGCGGCGGTGGGGACTCTGTCATCCGTGTTTGGAGTGCGGAGACGGGCAGGCTGCTGAGGGAGGTGGAGAATGATTCGCTGAGGGTCTTTCTGGTCAGGGAGGACCACAATGAGCTGCTGGCGGGCGCCAGGGACGGCAGGTGACTGTGTGCATGAGGTGAGTGGTGTTCATGCGATCTGTATGCGTGTTCGTTTTGTCGTACACAGCATCACCGTGTACGACACCAAATCGTGGAAGGTCAAGACCGCCTTCATGGACGACTCAGGCAGCGTCTTCGCCCTTGCCGAACACCACTACACACTCATCAGGTAGCCACCCCAAGAACGCTTCCAAATATTCTCTATATCCTTGCACCTGTGGTGTCTCAGCGGCTCAGACCACATCGCCATCTGGACCAACCCTGAGTGGCGGCCGGCGACTGACCCTACACCCGGACACACTGGCATGATGGAGGGGCGGCCCAGCATGGGCCGTGAGGTGATCAGGGGGCAGAGGGGGGCGCCGTTGCCGTGGGGAGGGGTATGGAGGGCATCGCACGTCATCGACGAGGCGTCGCGGTCACTCATGGTGCATGACGGCAAGCTGTATGTCGGGGCTATCGATCGGGCTCTCAAGGTGGCCTCCACAGGGATGGTTGGAGTGCGTGTGTAACAAGACACTTCGTTTTCCGTCGTGTGTCGTTGTGTGCAGGTGTATGACTTGAAGACGCTCGAGTGCATCGAGACACTTGTCCATCACGAGCGGTGCATTTGGTCGATGCTCGTCGTGAACCAGTTCCTGGTCACCGGCAGGTAGGCGACACCCAGCAAGCAGCCTTGACACAGCAGCACTACTGACGATTCTCTCTCTTGTTGGTTCAGCGCGGATTTCACCCTGGGTGTGTGGCGGTTTGCTAAGGAGGACGGCGAGCCTGCGTTGCAGTTAGTGGCCAGCCTGGGCGACCACAGCGGATGGATTGTGCAGCTGCTCTCATACGGCAACAAACTCGTCACGGCATGCCTGTACGTCACCAAGAGGACAACGCATGGATGTTTGCAACGACGAGTGCTGTCCTCTCGACGTTGCTTTCCATGCAGTGATGGGTTTGTGCGTGTGTGGGACACGCACGGCGACCCAGTGGACTGGCGACGCGTCAAGGTCATCGAAGTCAGCGAGAACGAAGAGAACGAGGTGGGGACTCATAAGAGAAGAAAGGAGTGTCCGGCAGTGAGTGTCGCTGTCCGTCTTCAGGTGTACTCTGTGGCTGCGATTGACAACAAGCTGGTCACCGCCAGCTCAGACGGGGCCATCCACGTCTACTTTGATGCACGGCAGCAGCACGAGCAGAGACAGAGCCAGTGATCCAATCGACATCCGCCTCTACGTGGCTTGCAAGGCGCGGTCTGACTCTGCGCGTCGCCCTCTGGCTCATTGCTTTTACGATTCAGTGTTAATCAAGTTGATGTCTCTCAATCGTTCAGTCAGTGCCGTTCAATCTCAGTGTATCTTTGTCTTGATCTGTGTCTCCATCTCCGCCAGCCTCTTGTCCATCTGTGTCAGTCGCTCCTCCAAGCGTCCGTCCATCGCCTGCAAGACTGAAATACGGGCCCGCACAGACACAGCGAGACACAGTGCTGCGTGGTTTTTCTGCATGCCTCAGCTTCGCCTCACCCGCCATGATGTCAGGAGAGGTCGCGTTATGGGAATTCGCTGCCCTGATCCATCCATCGATGACCTCCGTCGATACGTCCAACGTCGGGACTCTAGCAGCTCGGTGACGCCGGCGCGCAGCTTCCGCAGCTTGCGAACCACCGGACTGACCTTTCGAAGCTTCCTGGCAGGCCTGAGTCAGACAGCAGAGTGGATTGCTTAGGTTTTGATCTCTCCCCTTCCCTACTTGGATTGCAAACACTATGAAGAAGAAGAGTACGCCAAATGGGAATAGAGTGACGAGCATGACGGTGTTCCACAGACGCTTCAAGAGCGAGTCTGCTGGCTGGGAGAGGCAGGGGTAGTAGCAACCGGTACCACTATCAGTCGAAGCTCCAGCATTCAGCACATATTCCTTGTCAAGGAGCACGTGTAGCAGCCGTTCGGGAGCTGAGAGGATCCAATCGGGTGTGAATGCCACGGTGAAGAGGAGCGCATCGATGAGGGCATACAGAACCACCATGGACCAAAAGGCAATGCGGCAGACTGTCGACTGCTCACGCCGTTCTCTGCTTATGAGAGAGGCCAGATATCGCAAGGGGGCCGATACAACGAAAGCTGCATAGTCCATGGTGCCATGAGCGTGCCGAGCATTTTGAATCGCATTCTCATTCTTATATATTGGTGAACTGACCGACGAGGTTGAATGGCGGCGGCAGCCGCTCGTGGAGCGGCATTGTGAGGTATTCATTCAACACGCGAATGCGCAGCAGCCTGGACAAAGCCATAAAGCCTCTGCCAGTCTCATCACCGCCTGGTCGTCTTGTTTCGCTTACTGGTACTGCGCGTTCTGTGTCTCCTCGATCGCTGAATACGTTGATGCCTGACACACACACAGAGACATTCGATCGAAACAATCCGGTGGCACAATCAATTTGTATGGCGTGCGTCTCACCATGATGGCGATGAGCAGGTTGAGCTATTGATGCAAGGACAAAAGATAAGGAATGGGGGCCTTGTATGTGCAGAGTAGTATGGCAGAGGCTCACGAGTATGATGGACGAGAGGATGATGTAGGTGAACAGCAGCACAGCGCCCAGCGTGTCGTGGGTCTCTATGGCGTTGTTCAACGGGCCGTCGAAATTTCCCAGGCCGGCGTAGAAACTGCACAACGCAAAGACGCGACATGACCACCGTCGAGTGCGTATCCTCATGACCCCCCATACAGTGTGAGCATGGCTTTGTCGTAGGAGGCGAAGTAGTCACGGTCTTCGTCGGACGAGAGGATGGTGAAGACGCCCGCGAAGATCAGCAGGATGTAGGGGTACAGCAGCAGAAACATCCGGATGTCAGACAGCATCCTCACCACAGCTCTGACAGGTCAACAGGAGAGACACAGTGACATAGACACGATAGACTCTCTGTGTCTGTGCTCACAGGATGAGCGGTCCGACGGTTGGATGCAGACTGGCCGTTTGTAAGAGGCGCAGGGCAAACAAGGGGCGATCACTATTGCTGAGCCGACCTCAGCTTCCGCCCCCAGCCGATGAAGTAAATGGCGATGAAAGCGGCGATAGACGCGCCACTCGCGCAATCAAGCCAGTTCCTGCATGCTCGCGGCGAGAGCATTGGCAGATAGAGCCCAAAGGTGTGATGGCGGTCATCTGGTGCGTACCAAGAGTCTTTCCAGTACGATCCTCCCAGGCGGAAGGCCTATCCCGTGCACAAATAGAAGCTGATCCAGATCTGTTTTTTGGAAGTCTCGGTTTACCTGGAAAATCTCGAGTAGAATAAATCCAGATCCAGTGGCCAGCACAATCCACAGCCACACGGACTTGTCCACTGCCGCGATCGTCATGCCGCTGTCTCCTTTGATGCTCTTGGTGTAGAGTAGCACAGAGAAGATCCTACAGACAAGACAATGGCGCGTCTCTCCTGGCCTGCAGTGGCTTGTGCGTGCACTCTTACAGAAGGAGCATTGAAAACACGCGGCTGAAGAAGGAACTCCGAGGTGAGAACTCCGTCCCGAGAAGCTTCATCATCGTCAGAGGCTCCTTTGCTTCCAGTGGAAGAAAGCTTTCATAGATCCGCTGCCAGTGGTGTGTGACGAGAGACACGCAGTTTGCTGTCTCAACAGCACAAAAAGGGAGCACATGAAGTAAGAGCCGAACGGAGAAAAATAGCCCCATTTGTACCTTGGGTGACCACTGTCAGCGGCTCGGCGGACTCCAGCAGCTTGATGAACTTCTCCTCGCTGCCCTTGAGTGAGTCGCGAAATTCTTTTTCTCCTGTTCCCGTGCAAAAGCCCGTTACGAATGCCTGAACCAATGCGGAAGTGCAAAACGAACACTGAGTGACGTTCGAAGCTGTACCTCGGACCAGCCAGCCGTCCCCTCAAGGTCGTCGGTGAGGGAGTCTTTGGGTCGTGACTGCATCAGGTGACGGAAGACGGAACAAGACTGAAGACTGTCGAGGCCGGGTGACGCAACGCGCTTCCTCAAGAACGCCTTCATTGCAGGCACGACCTCCTGCAGGACCTCAGGCTTCACCACTCGATCGACCTTTTCGCCACTCGTCCCCAGCAGTTTCAGGGTCACCTCTCCAGCCACACCAACCATCACAGCGACGACTTTGGGCTTGTCAAGGACAAGATCGAGAGGAGGCTTTCCATCCTGTCAGAATCACGAGCAGGGACGACTTTGATACGAAGTCTGATGCGTGTGGTGCAGCTTACATTGTTCTTGATCTTCAGCAGGTCTGGCTTCACCTTCAATACCAATCCCACCGCTTCAGCACGGCCATCCCCTGCAGGAGAGCACAAAGCGACACGTTGAAGCCTCACGGTGGCTGAGTGCACAAAGAGGCTGACGTGCTGCGTGATGAAGAAGCGTCCAACCATCCTGAATGAGATCATGGAAGAGACACTGGGTGGTTCATGCGCCATTTGAGAAGTCTTCACTCTTACCTTGTCCTGGCTTTCGAGGGCATCCATATTGCCGCTTGACTTGAGAATCTCTATGACCATGTCGCCGGCCGCGTCAAGCACCGCAGCCATGACTTTCGGCTCCGTGTTCTCGAAGAAGGCAACATCAATAGGCGTCTTTCCGGCCTGTACACACAGTCATGAGCAGGGACACTGTGACAGAGAATTGTTGCCCTGTCGCTTACGTTATCCTCCTTCTCGAGGAGGTCTGGCTGCATCCTCAGTATCAAATTCACCATCTTAACATTCCTCTGCCCTGCAGGAGAGCGCAAAAGAGGCGCTGAGAAGTGCTGCACTTGTGGCATTATCTATCTGCAGGACTGCAAAAATGACTGACGTGCCGCAAAATGAAGAGGATTGCGTCCGTCCTGAATACGGGTGAGGAAGACACTGGCTGTGTCATGTACGGTTGAGAGGTTTTGATCGGGTAAAGTGTATCTTTTACCTTGGCCACAGCTTTCAGCAGCTCCTTTCCTCCCAAGTCGATGAGTTTCTCCACAGTATCACCGAGGTTATTCTCTGCTGCCGAATGAAGAGGCGTGTAGCCCCTCTGAATCAGAGCATGAAAGAGACACATGCTGTTCAATGCATCAGTCGACATTCCCTCGTCCTTACGTTGTCCCGAGCTTCCAGCAGCTCCTTTCCGCCCCTCTCGACAAACTTCTCCACAACACCAACTGACCCGTGCTTCGCTGCAAAATGAAGAGGCGTGTTGCCATACTACAGACACAACATGAAAATAGGAAAGAAGGCATTGGTCGGTTGATACGCGATATATACCTCATCAGTGGCATCCAACAAATCAGGGACGATCTCCAGCATCGTCTCCAACATACTTGCACTGCCGGATGCTGCCGCACGGCAACACGAGTCCTTACAGGAGCCGCACAGTCAATACACCCTACCTGCTGCCTACCTGCTGCAAAGTGCAAAGGGGTGCGACCATCCTGTCAGACGGACAACGATGCCACGCGTCACCCATTGGCAATTCATTGCCATCTTCACCTTGGTCTGAGCTTTCAGCAAGTCCTTCCCGCCCCACTGGATGAAGTTCTCAACAAGATGAGCTCCACCGCCTTTCTCCGCAACGCAATGGAGTGGTGTTCTGCCGTACTGTAGACACCGCAAGGAGGCAGCAGTGACGACGCGAGTCGGCGAACGAGGAGACTGAGCGTAATTGTCCAGCGTCTCCCTGATCCTTTCTCACCCTCACCGTGTCCTGAGCTTGCAGCAGGTCCTTTCTGCCCCACTCGATGAAGTTCTCAACAAGATGAGTTCCGCCGCCTTTCTCCACGACAACGTGAAGTGGCGTCTTGCTCCCTTCGCGCTGGATACACAGCAGGAGGATCCGCATGAAAGGAGAAGCGATGAGTCGGGCAGTCATGATTTCCTCTTCAGATGACGATGACCCTCGACCATGATACCTCATTTCTCAGTTTGAGCAGGTGACGCCGGTTGTGCAGCAGGACCTCGAAGACCTCTACTGTTGTCGGCGTGTATTTGTCCACACTGTTATCTGGAAAGCACACACGAACTTTGTGACTCCACATGTACATGGCGTGAGACGATGCATACGCGCAGCCAGGTGGATGGCAGATCTCCAAGACTGAGAGAGAGTTGAATGCTCCCAGTAACCAGTCGTCAGTATTCTCTCCGCTTGACCAGTCGGCAGACTGGCAAGATCCTTCCGCAACTGTTCCAGCTCTGCTGTGTTTGCGAGGCCCAAGGCTGCTGTTCTGACCCTGCGTCTGAGCGTTTTGGTCGCTTCGTCTTCCTCGACGGCAGGGGCACCCACCAGGGGGACCTGCGGATGAAGAGACACAAATGACAGCACTCATGAGTTGCTCGACAAAGTGAACAAGGAAGCGGATGGACCTCTTCGAGGCGTCTCGGTGCCGGAGGGAGCTCATCCTTGACATCAGCCAGCTGCATCTTCATCAGCCCCTCTTCCCCTGGATGGCTGGGCTCCAGAAGCGGTATCTGGTCACTCGAGGCCGACGCCGCCCGACGATACGCCGCCGTCATCTGCAATGCCACCGGCGTGAACAATTACAATGGCATTGCAGGCTGACCTCCATGTTGCCTGTCTCTCCGTGATTGATGGGACTCAGCGCAATGGCGTCATCATCCTCTGAACACGGCAGCTGAGTGTAGCACCAATCACGAACAAGGCCCGGGGAGGGTGGCTGTCTCCTGGCGTCTCTCGAGCTGTTGTGCTCACGGCCCTGAACACGTGGGCCGTGCTCACGAGCGCTCCCTGGCCACAACTCCAACATTCTCCCCACGCTCCCCCCTGCACCTCAACCGGGAGACGCCAACAGCCCCCAGACCCCCATGTTTAGCTCGCAGGATGCCGTCTTGCGAGGAGTCCAGTGCCAACGATGTGGGGTGCGACGACTGCACGTCCATTGTGCCTGCCACGAGCGCCAAACGGTCTCTGTCTGACGGCGGCCAAGACCGGCGACAGATCGAGAAGGCCTACGAGGTGCTCGGCCTTCAGCCGGGGAGGAGCAGAGAAGTCGTGGAGAGAAGATTCAAAGCCCTGACTAAGGGATCTCAATCAGTCCTAGCCAGCTTCTTACAGGGTCTCTTCTTCGGTGTTTGTCAGTCCGCCTGCACAACCCGGAACGGGGGGAAGAATTGTAAGCAATGGGGCCCGGCAAGGACGCTTCAAACAGTGCCTGTTATGTGTGCCTGGCAATGCGGCTTCAAACAGTGCTGATTATGTGTGCAGGGATCGCTATGTGGAGATCACCACATCGGTTGGTGTGCTCCGCTCCCTCTTCGCGTCGGTCTACTCCATCGGCAACTCGTACCGCAACTGGGACAAAATTCCACCTGGTGGGCACCACTTACAGAGGCAGCAATGTGGTGTCTCTGCACACACGAGAGGTGCACGGATGTCTCGCATGTCATTTCAGGCTGGTATGAGACGGCCTGCCAAGAGATTTATTATCACGAAGGTGAGACACAAAGTCACTCCGAGAGAAAAGGGACAAAGGGCGTGTGCTAACTGGCCCGATTTGCCGTGTTCAGGCGGCCCTCTGCCTTCGCCACCGATAAGGCCGTGCGTGAGTATAAGTGACGATGACATCGCCCCAGAGACACACCCCCTCTACGACGTACCCACACAAGAGACACACACGCGGAGACAGAGAGGCGTGTATGTCTGTGTGCACCTGTTTGCAGTGCATGGCTACGTCTCCGTTCATCGTGCGATGGTGGTTTCTGGGCGGCGGGGCGCGGCTGATGCGATGCTGCCTGGGGCCGCAGGAATGAGACAGACAGAGAGAGCAGGACCATGAGATCAAGATCGACCCACTGTTTCCTGACGACGATTGACTGATTGCTGGCGGCATGTGTGTGTGTGTGTGTGTGTGTTTTGGTGGGGGGTGGGGGGGCTTCTGGTTTTGTTGCTCTGTACACCATTGGTCTGTTGAATGAGTGGGGACACGGGGCGGGGCGCATCAGATGCAGAGGTCCATGAATGGAATGGGTCACACGACAGAAAAACCTGCGCACACAGACGGACGCACCGAGGCGCGACAGACAGACACTGCACAGACAAATCAACCAACACACACAAAACGACACGCACTCTCACGCAGAAAGTTGGCAGGCATGCACTAGAGGCAATCGACAGCAGCCAGGGATCGATGAGAACGCAGCAAACAGCAGGCAGTGTGTGTGTGTGCCTATGGTCGGCCGCCGGTTGGTGGCTACATGGGCGGGGCTGTACACGTGTGTGCGGATGGATGGATGGATGGATGGGCATGCAAATGTCTGTCTGTCTGAGTGTCTCTCTGTCTCTTTACGCTACCTGTATGTATGCATGGTGTGTGGACACAGATGGATGCGATATGGATCCGGATCAATTGCAAAGCAGTGAGTGGTGTACGTACATTACATGCCAGCTGGCTCTCTCCCCGCATCACATCTCACTCTGATGTCGCTCTCCTCTCCCCGTACGCAGGCACTGTTCTCTCTCCCTCTCTGGCAATGCCTGTCAGTCAGTCTATCTGTATGTGTGTGTGTGTGTACGTAGGCAGGCAAGTGACTAGGTAAGCAGGTGGGCGTCCTGCCCTGCCCTGCCGTGCCTGCCGTGCCCTGCTGGGTGGGGTGCATTGCTGCTGTGTTGATGCAAACCACTACCAGCCATGCACTGCACGCAGACGGCCGCACCGCACGAGCATCGGTCTAAGTATGTATTTTAGTACACAGCCTCGCAACAAATCGACTAGGCATGCCCCTCCTCCCCAGCAGCCACTGCGGCCAGCAGCAATCAAAACCAACAAAAATTCAAGTACACAGAGTGAGGAACACTGAGCCCCAGTCAGTCCACATAAGGCATACACACGCATGCGGTCGGCTGAAGATGAAGCGACAGCAGCTTACGCAACAAATCGTGAGCGAGTGAGTGAGGCAGTCAGTGGTGCGGTTGGTTGTATGCACTTAGGAAAGAAGAAACGTATGGATGGACGCCCCTCCTCGTGTTGACAAAAAAGCGCCTCTGCTGGTCCGTGGGGTTGCGGCAAGTTATTGGTCCGATGATCGATCGCATGAGTGCACTCACTCGTCTGCCCTTTTTCCGTCTGCCTGTCTGTAGGCCGCTGGCTGTGCCTTGACGCCCCTTGTGGCCACGTTCCCACCAGCCACTTGCTCACATGGCTGGCGGAAGCGTCACATCAATGGCCATCAAGGCACATCCAGACAGCCCATCCAGTAGGCAGCAGGGTGGGTTGCGAAACACTTGCCTGTTCTTCGCCTGTCCTTCATCGTCAATGTGCACGTGTGTGTCGGGGTGGTTTCCGTCAGGTGAGCCCAGTCAGCCGGTCAGCCGTTGGGTGAGTGAGTGAGTGAGTCAGCCACACACACACACACACATACACAGTCCCTAGTTACAGCGTTATTACACCACAATACCTACCAGTAGCTGTCTCTCTCTCTCCCCCTGAGTACGAATGTCTGCCTGTCTGTCTCTGTGCCATAATTCGATGAGCAGTGCACATTGATATCACACGTATCACACGCTGTCTCTGTCTGACGGCACGCACTCTCGCACGCACACGCACCCCACACACAAGAGAAGATGCCAACATAGAGACGCAGGCCAGAGCAGAGCAGACCAGGGCTCACACAGACACACGAGGCGAAAGAGGCTTCCCCACACTGCACAAAGGGCAACCACGGTCGGTCGCCTCGCTTTGTGTCGGGGGCCAGCCCTTCCGACTCACAGACAGACAGACAGACAGTCAGACAGACAGAGAGAGAGACAGAGAGGGAAGAGGGCGGCAGTGCACTGCGAGCAGTAGGTAGATTGGTAGCCTACGCGAGCACATCGCGCCAGTCAGCCTCCTCTGTCGCTCCTCTTATCTGTTTGTCTGTCTGCCTGCCTGCTTGCTGCTATCCACAGGGGGTCTGCACAGAGGTCGACAAAACAGAGGGAGTGAGAGCACCGGGGCATGGGAGCCGACATGGAAGCATCGCGACAGACAGAAAGGCATGAATATCCAGAGAGCGTACGTGTGCAAGGTGGGTGCAGTGTGTGCGTTGCGTTGTGTGTGTGTGTGTGTGTGCCATCGGCCGGCTGTGCCCACACACATTCACACGTCGGTCATGGTACTGTCAAAACACAACAAAAGGTAGACGGTCGGTATGGTTAGTCATTCATTCATTCACTCGCGCAGTCATTCCCTCACTGGCTCACTCATGCCGGCCGGGGTGTATGGTACAGCAGATGGATAGAGAGAGAGAGCGAGCTGGACAGCAAAACTAAGGCACGCACGGCACTCACAGCCCCTCTCCCCTCTCCCTTCTGTGTGTGTGAGCGTATGGTACATCCCTAACCAAAGCGACCAAGCAAGCATCTCGTCTGTCAGCCAGTCAGACAGACAGGCAGGCAGACAGACGGGCCTCAGCCCAAGTTGAGCTGAGCCCCCCGCCTCGCCCGCCAGCTGACTCTTCCCGCAACTGTCTGTCTATCTGCATAGGTGTGCATGGTGCGTCGCGTCATTGTTGTGTCTTGTCGTCTGCTGCCCGCTCGCCGTCTGTCAGTGAGACTGGCGACGCAAAAAATGCCAACCACACTGCGGACCAGAGAGAAAGAGCGACAGACAGATTCCCTCCTGCAGGCAACGCATCACACCATGCCACACCATCGTCACGCCACTGTTGCTAATTGTAGTCCTGCCGTTGAGAATGGCAACCACACACACACACGGGGGGGAGAGAGGGAGAGAGAGAGCAGAGTGAGCGACAGGCGAGACGAGGCACTCCGAGCCAACGAAGACACGAACAGGTGGATGGATGGATGGATGGACGACCACCGACCGACCGACCGACCTTTCTGCAGGCAATGACTGCACATCACATCATGTGCAGGGGCCGTGTGAGAGAAAAAGACGACCCACTGCGTTGCGTCGCGTTGCGTTGCATTATCCGACAGACAGCACACAAACAGTATGGTATGGCAGCGAAAGAAGCGGGCGAGAACAACACTCTCTTGTTAGTCGCTACGGCAGAGAGACAGGGTGAGCGAGAGGCTGGTGATGATGATGGACGAAAGGCAGGCAGGCAGGCAGGCATATGTATCTCTGGCTGAGCCAGCAGGCGACACAACGACGCACACAACAAGAAGGCAGCGAGTCACTCTTGAAAAGACAGAGGGGGATGGATGGATGGATGGACCCTCGCCTCTTCTCTCTCTCTCTCTCTCTTTTGTCTCCGCTATCGGCGCATCCAGCCACGGAGACGAGCAGGCAGACTTGGATTCTCACACGCACACGAACACACACATGCAAGTGTGACAGCAAATAAAGGGTCTTGCGCGTCTCTCAGCTGACCCCCACACGCACACAACGGACGGGCATCCATGGCATGGCATCCAGCCAGCCACCATCACAGACATACTTACACAAACACACACGCGATACACACACAATATACATATAATGAATGCATGAGAGACATGATATGATATGGCGAGTGAGTGAGTCATCATGTTATGTGTGTGACCTTCTTTCTGCTGGTTAGTTAGCTAGTGTACACGCATCACACCACAACACACACACACACAAACGTCGTTACCCACGCGTCATGAGAACGCATCCCCAGCCTCTCCCTCTCCCTGTTGGCTGCTGTCGCCCTTCTGCCTCACAATATGTGCGAGTATGGTCTCAATATCCGACGGCCCCACCCCGGGGCTGCTCGCAAGCCGCTTCAAGATCGCCAACGTGTCCGCAGGGATGCCCCTGCTCCTCACACCGCCTAGCAGCGAGGAAAGCAGCGCCTCATGCTCATGCTGATGCTCGGCCGCCCTCTCCCTCTCCCTCTCCCTCTCCTCCTTGTTCGTCTCAGGATGATCCGCGGTGGCAGTTGCAGCGGTGTTGATGGCCTCCACCCCGCCGTCACTCTCGACCAGCATGCTGTCATCCCCCGGCTCGTTCAGACTCATCCCGGGGGCAGGGGAGCCGTCTCTCTCTTTCTCCCTGGTTCCAGCTGCTGCTGTGGCTGTGGCTGTGGCTGTCGCTGCGTGTGGTAGAGTGAGTGGCTGTGATGGTGGTGGTGGTGGAGGTGGTGATGGGCGGGAGGGTGGACTAGTGACGGCTGTCTTCTTGGGGAACTGCAGACGAAGCGCATTGCCCAGGAACGTAACCTAACCAGCCCAATAAGGAGAGGTGTGCATGGATGGATATATATGGCCATACGGATGTCTGTGCGCGCCCATGTGAGCGCACCCCATTGAGTTGCAGTCCGGCATTCGCGGCTTCGACCGTCCGGAACTCAGCAAACGCATAGTGACCTGATCACACCAAACCAACCACGCCACTTCAGCCAACGGACAGGCAAATCGCGCTTGTCGGCTCTCACATACCGTCTCGGCTGATCCAGGCACCAACAACCGGATCAGCGCCACACATCTGACAATTAATGAAGTGACATAGACAGACACCACACAAGTGACACAGACAGACACCGTGGGTGTGGTTCGCTGCCCCTTCTCAGCTCAGCCGCCTACGTGTTTGTTGGCGTAGGTGCGGAGGGCGTTGTTGAGGAATCTGACCAGGATGGGCGGCGTGCAGTTCCGGGGCAGATTGCCGATGTACAGCTCGCGGCCGGCCTTCTGACTCAGCACGCCCGCACCAGCACCAGCGCCAGCACCACTTGCCGCCGATGACGGACCACCGCACCTGCACACCCACAGCCATCCATCCATCCATCCGTCCATCAAAGCCTTTCTCTTACCCAGCAGCAGCAGCAGTGGACGAGGAGGCGCCCTCAGTGGGTCCCTGTGTCATGACGCCCGGACGACTGTCTTCTGTCTGCAGTGACAGCGACCGAGGGTTGAGCCAATCGCCGCCGCCCCTCGTGTCAGAAGGCTGCGGCGGCGGCTGCTGGTGGGTAGTGGCTGCATGATGGTGGTGCGACACGTCCCTCACAGATGGCGTGACGGTGACGTTTGATCGGGGCGGCGGGAGGGGCCTGGATGAGGGGGGCGGGGGAGGGGGAGGGGGGCGGGTGGCACTAGCACTAGCACTAGCGCTGCTGGTGCTCGAGGATGTATCGAGCTTCTTGGGCACTTCTAGACGGAGGGAATAGCCTGACAGACGACGGACGACCACACGGGGTGCTTCTCGAGGGGTGGTCTTGTGTGTGGTGTGGTTGTGCGAACCAAGTAGGTTGAGTCTGCCGTTGAGCAGCGCTGCCCGGTGGGCCTCTTCCACCGTCCGCAACTCTAGGAACGCAAAATGATCTGAACAATCACACACACCCCAACACACAACAAATCGATACCCCATTCGTTCCAGCCACAACATTCATCGCACTACTCACTGTCTTTATTGATGTGGGCAGCCAGTATCGGTGCCGCCACAGACGTGTTGACTCGGTGGTCCACGAGCTTGCCGTTGAGGAAGTCCACCAGCTGCTGCGCCTGCACGCCCGGCGGCAGGTTGCCCACGTACAGCTCCCGCATGCGCTTCTCGCTCACAGCGGGGGCCGGTGGGGGGCCTGGGGCGGGGGCCGGGGTCATGGTGGGGGGGGAGGGGGGAGGGGGCGCTCGGTGGCCCCGGGGCGTGGTGGTCATGCATGGTGGGTGGGCAGGGGGCAGCTGGATGGAGGGGTGGCTGTGGGTGTGGGGGAGCATGTCCGATTCGGGACTGCCCAGCACCAGCCTGAAACGAAAAAGAAGAAAGAGAACAACACAGGTCAGGTGATGTGTCGCGTCCTTCCCTGCCTGCGTAGCGTACCCTCTAGGGTGTGTTGGGCTGTGCGGCATCTGGCCGACCCCTGCTACAGCCACTGGCACCACAATCGCCGCTGCCGCACCGGCAGGACAGACACCACGCACTCCCACCGGCCGAAGCGGGGGGCCACAAGGCCGTGCGCCCACCACCGGCAGCACATTCAGGGGCAGGGGCAGTGGGCGGGGCATCGCCATGCCGCCCCGTCCCACCATCCCCACGCCCATCTCTACTCCCATCCCCACTGCCATGCCCATGCCCAGCCCCCGGTGCCTCTCGTACGACCTCGACCGAGACGAAGAAGCGCGAAATCGGCCTCGGCTTCTGCTTCTACTCCTGCTGCGGGACCGGGATCGCCTTCGCCGCCTCTCGCGAGACCGATCCCGCGACGCAGAGGGCGACCGTCTCGGGGGCGACCTCGAGCGCGACGATGGTCTTCTGCGGATGGCGGGGGATCGGGGTGATCTGGATGTGGACCTCTTCTTCTGGGGGCTCCGCCGCCTGTCGCGGTCACGCGAGTGCGATCGCGGGGTCCGCAAACAGGTCGGGCAGCGGGCGGGGCACGCATGATGGCTGGCCGACACATCATGGCTATGGCTGTGGCTGTGGCTGTGGCTGTGGTGTGGGGATGGGGGCCTCTCCCGCCGAGAGTCGCGCTCCCTCTCTCTGCTGGGAGGTGAAGGTCTTCTGTCTTGCGATCTGGGGGAGCGGCCTCGGGTGGGCAGGGAAGAGGGGGAGGCCGACGGGGAGGGCGATGGTGGCGGCGGCGAGCGACGGCGACGGGCAGCGCTGACACACAGAAGAAAAAGGCCATAGAGAGAATGCATGCAGACACTTGTGCATCTGTTTCTTGCTGCGTACGTGGCTCCTCTGCCGCGATCCGTGCCGCCTCTGCCCCGTCCCCTTCCGCCCCTATCTCGCTCTCGCGATGCGCTCCTCTCAGCCATGTGCCCCTCGGCCACACCATGATGGTAGTGGTGGCCGCGGGAGTGCGTCCCGCCCCTCACTGCAGAGCCGCGGCGACTGGTGGGGTGGTGGGGATGGTGAGAGGGGACCTCGTGATGCTGGTGCTGGTGTGTGACGACTGGTGATGACATGTGGGAGTGGGAGTGGGAGTGTGGGTGTGGGTATGGCGGCGACGGCAGCCTCCTCGACGGCTTGCGTGCCCTGTGGAGCCTCTCGACGGATATGGCGCTATACAGACTTCGGACTGTTCCTCTGGTAGTCGACACACACACGCACAACCACACACAACCACACACATACACACATGCAAGTGTCCGTTGAGAGAGTGGTGTGGCTTGGCTGACCTGGAGCAGCTTCGTGATGAGCTGGCCGTATCGAACAGTCGTGATAGAGTCATCGAGCACCCGCCCTCCGGCAACTAACGCCTCGCGAACGACAGCAGGCAGACAGGCCACAGACAGACGCCCGAGAGCCACAACCAAATCAAGCAGTGTCACTGAAATCAAACCTCCAGGCCGTCCCCGAGTCTTCACAGCACCAATAGTACGTAGAGCTCGACGTAGAGAGTGCTGCGGTGAGCTACGGCTCTCACTTCCGGCAGAAGGAGGTCCGGCGGCCTGTCAGGATGGCCACCTGCCCCAGCCTCGCTTTCTTCGCCTCATGGCGGATGCCTACACCTTCTCTCCTACACCTTCTCCGTCTTGAAGTCAAAAGCTCGCAAATGGGAATAGCAGCTAAGCTCGCAGCCGCAGACGGCGAGGCGCGAAAGAAAAGACGAGGCCACAGTGCTGAATCTCTTGAGTTTGATTGTTTTTGAGGATCAGTACTGCATTGAACAACGACCGCCAAGGGGCTGGACAACAAACCCCAACAACGATAACTGGTGAGCGTGAGATCTTCGCACCTCGGATGCTACCGGACTGGATGAGCTCTCTGCCGCAGACCTCATGTTGTGGATACTGACGCCGTTTCTCTTTTCCCTGAGTTTGTCGCGGGCCGCTTTGGTGCGTCGATCTTCTGCATTCATCCCTCCTCATCTTTGGTGCATGACGCCGGCGTCGAGAGGGGCCCTGACACGCACAATCGCAAAAGAGGTGCGTGCGACGCACGCACACCTGGCACACACGTAAGTCTAGTCGTGTGTGTCATCCTTTCAGAGTGATGGTGAGGAGCAGCCGATGCCAAGCAACCCTGATGGTGTGCCAGCAGGTGCGTCCATACCAGACACAAAGACATACATGAGAGGGAGAGAGAGGCGAATCCATCCACACACACACACACACATCTGTGTGTCTGTGTGCCGATTGACTGCTTGATGTGCGTGATCCGTGTGTATGGTTCATTCGTTTAGGCATGCCAACGAAGTGTGGTGATTCGGAGGTTTATGGGCGGTCAGATGAGGACGTGCGGCTGGGCCTTGCCCGGTTGCCCAGGGTCACGCTCTCACCGGAATTCGTCCAACGACACAAATCCGTCCTTTCCAGAGAGACTCGCCGGTGAGTGTGTCGTCACAGAACAATCAACACCTCAAGTTTGCAAAGCGTGTGTGTGTAGCTGGCCTACGGTGTGCCTCAAGGATAGGAATCTGCTCTTGGTGGTTTTCTACGTCTGGCCGTTGCTGGAGCAAATGATATTCCAGGTGTGTAGTCACCGCACAACACACACACACACACACACACACAGAGGACACCCACACGGATGGATGGGTGGGTGCATCAATCAGCGCCGCCTGTGTGTGTGTGTGTGTGTGTGTGTGTGTTGGACAGACAAACTGGCGCATCTACGCGAAACCTTACGACCAGGACAACCATGACGCCACGTCGGTGTCGTTCCTGGTCGGCAAGGACAGGGCCTATCGGAGGCACATTTGGGTGATGGCCGGCGACAATCGCGAGCAGCTGGAAGGGACAAATTTTTTTAAAGTCACCGCAAGAGCTCCTGAGGAGCCGCCTAGTGCGACAGGCGATCAGATACGGCTGCATTGTGGACGCGACCTTCAACACATGGACTTTCTACCGCTACAACGACAAGAACTTTCTGCAGAAGATCAGAGAGTTTAAACACAACGACACTCAGACGAGGGAGGGCCAGCCGCAGGAGATAGTGGACTTCATGGCAGAGCTGCTGCACAAGAACGACACAAGCCTGTCCTTCCCCACATGGGAGGGAATCAGGCACGAAGAGCAGAAAAGGTGCGCGTGTCCTCAGGCAGGCAGGCAGGCAGACCGACAGGCAGAGAGACTGGAGGAGAGAAGCCACGTAGCGCGTTCAACGTATGTATAATGCGTTTGCAGAAAAAGGGCATTGCTGGATGAGGCAAGAGAAATGTATGGAGATGACTGAGAAAGGTTTGGAGGCATGACTGGTTGACTGACGACGGAGAGAGTCAGTAGATGGATGCTGGGCCTTAAGAGAGCTGACTGCAATTTAATGCGGCAGGAGAGGACATACATACATGTACAGTAGCTAGATGGGATGGCCGTGGTTCGCAGCGCATTGCATATCCACCTGTTTGCTGCATCTGCCCTCCGCGTGCTGGGTGTTGCGTGTCTGTGTTGCATGTTAGGGTGGTGTTTCATATTGCAACAGAGGACTTGGCCGCCAGGCCGCCTAGGGTGCTTCCTGAAACCGTAGGGGCAAGCTAAGCTTGCAGATGAGGTGGAGGAGAAAGCATCTGTGTATCGGACTGGATGACCTCTCAGCCGTGGACCTCATACTGTGGATGCTGACGCCGTTTCTCTTTTCCCTGGCGAGTTGGTCGCGGGCTGCTATGGTGCGTCGATCTTCTGCATTCATCGCTCCTCCTCTTCCCCGCGCCACACCGGCGTCGAGAGGGGCCCTGACACGCACAATCGCAAAAGAGGTGCGTGCGACGCACGCACACCTGGCACACACGTAGGTCTAGTCGTGTGTGTCATCCTTTCAGAGTGATGGTGAGGAGCAGCCGATGCCGAGCAACCCTGATGGTGTGCCAGCAGGTGCGTCCATACCAGACACAAATACATACATGAGAGGGAGAGAGAGGCGAATCCATCCACACACACACACACATCTGTGTGTCTGTGTGCCGATTGACTGCTTGATGTGCGTGATCCGTGCGTATCCGTGTGTATGGTTCAATCGTTTAGGCATGCCAACGAAGTGTGGTGATTCGGAGATTTATGGGAGATCAGACGAGGAGGTGCGCCTGGGCCTTTCCCCGTTGCCCAGGGTCACGCTCTCACCGGAATTCGTCCAACGACACAAATCCGTCATTTCCAGAAGGACTCGCCGGTGAGTGCCTCGTCCCAGATCAACCAACACCTCAAGTTTGCAAAGCGTGTGTGTGTAGCTGCCCTACGGTGTGCCTCAAGGATAGGAATCTGCTCTTGGTGGTTTTCTACGTCTGGCCGTTGCTGGAGCAAATGATATTCCAGGTGTGTAGTCACCGCACAACACACACACACGCACACACACACACAGGACACCCACACGGATGGATGGGTGTGTGCATCAATCAGCGCCGCCTGTGTGTGTGTGTGTGTGTGTGTGTGTGTGTTGGACAGACAGACTGGCGCATCTACGCGAAGGTAAGCCACACATGCAGACAAAGATCCGGGTGGGATGGTGTGTATTGGGGGATGAATTCGCTGTCGACAGCCTTACGACCAGGACAACCATGACGCCACGTCGGTGTCGTTCCTGGTCGGCAAGGACAGGGCCTATCGGAGGCACATTTGGGTGATGGCCGGCGACGATCGCGAGGAGCTGGAAGGGACAAAGTCACCGCAAGAGCTCCTGAGGAGCCGCCTAGTGCGACAGGCGATCAGATACGGCTGCATTGTGGACGTGGCCCTTAAAAACATGGACTTTTTATCGCTACAACGACAAGAACTTTCTGCAGAAGATCAGAGAGTTTGACCACGATGACAGTCAGACGATAGAGGGCCAGCCGCAGGAGATAGTGGACTTCATGGCAGAGCTGCTGCACAAGAACGACCAAACCTCCCCTTCGGCACATGGGAGGAAGTCATGGTCGAGGAGCAGAGCAGGTGCGCGTGTCCTCAGGCAGGCACGCGGGCAGACAGGCAGAGAGAGAGAGAGAGAGGGAGGAAAGAGTAAGAGGAGAGAAGCCACATACACGTGGGTGCGTGAGTGAATGTCTGTTCAACGCATCTATAATGCGTTTGCAGAATACTGGATTTGCAGGATGAGGCAAGAGAAAGGTTTGGAATATAAGCTGAGAAAGGTTTGGAGCCATGACTGATTGACTGACTACGGAGAGAGTCAGTAGAGTAGATGCTCGGCTCAAGAGAGCTGACTGCAATTTTATGCGGCAGGGGAGGACATATACACATACATACATACATACATACACACATACATGTACAGTAGCCAGATGACCGGCTTCCCAGCGTTTGCTTGTTTTTCGTTCATCACTCATCGATTGCATCATTTGGCTGTCCGCTCATTTCATATGAACAAATACACGCAGCAGATACGAGTGCGTAATCGTATGTGGCCGTCGTTCGCAGCGCATTGCACATCCACCTCTTTGCTGCCTCTGCCCTCCGCGTGCTGCGTGTTGCGTGTCTGTGTTGCATGTTAGAGTGCGTGTCTGCATGTTCCAACAGGACTTGGCTCATGCCGCCTAGGGTGCTCCATGAAACCGTTGCAAGCTGAGCTTGCACACGAGATGGTGGACTCGAGAGAGAAGGAGATTCGGTGGAGGGCAACAAGGTCGTTGTGCTGAGTCTTTTTCGTTTGATTGTTTTTGGGGATCAATGCATTGAACAACGATAGTGACAACGCCCTGGACAACGCCTTACACAAGGATGACTGGTGAGCGTGGACAACTTTGAATCTTCGCGGGCCCTCTTCCACTTCATCTGTGTGTGTGTTTGTGTGTGTGTGTGTGTCTGCAGGCGAGGCGGAGGCGGTTGGCCCGCCAGCCGCCGAATACGATGAGTACGGCTTCGTCGTTCCGGCTGGCGCCCTGGGCCGTGAGATCGTCCGCTACAAGCAGCAGTTCCAGCCAAAAGCAGAGAGGAGGGTCACACGGTGAGCAGTGACAGTCACACCAGGCCATGGCACGCTGAGGCAGTGGAAGGTTCGTGTGCTTCTCGTCAGGTGGGAGAGGTTCCGTCGTGCAGATCCCTCTCTTTCGAACCGCCGGCGGCTCAAGCGGCTGGTGCGCAAGGGCATACCAGACTCGTTCAGGTCGGCAGACCGACTGCACTTGCACTTGCCGACCCCGACGGGCACTTGTCTTGTCTTGTCTGCTCTGCTGTGCCGTGTGGTGTGTGCGCAGGAAGGAGATTTGGGCTCACTGTCTGGGCAGTCAGCGGCTCAGGGATGCCAACCCAAACAAATTCGAAAGGCGAGCCGACAGACAACAGACAGACAAGGAAGAGGGGCACAGGACAGGTCGACTGTTCTGACGTTTTTCGTCCCCGTCGTTTTGTCAGTTTGCTTCGCGAGCCGCTGTCTGACGAGACGCTGAGCCAGATCGAGCTCGACCTCACACGCACATTCCCTAACAACAAACTGGTGAGTGGGGGAGGGGGGAGGGGAGGAGGGGAAGCACCGGCAGACATGGGTCTTTGTGTGTGCGTCAGTATAAGTACGAGGATGGTGTGGCGAAGCTGCGCCGGGTACTGCGGGCGTTCGCCGTCCACAACGTGCGGGTCAACTACTGCCAGTCGCTCAACTTCATCGCCGCGGTGCTGCTGCTCTTCATGGACGAGGAGCTCGCCTTCTGGACACTGGTACGTCCATCGGCGGTGTGATGCTCTCACCAACACCAGCACGTGTGCATTGCCTTTGCGTGTGTGCAGGCGCAGGTGGTGTCCAGTGAGGAGGGTGCGAAGGGTCTGCACATCGATGGCTACTACGTCGAGGGCATGGACCAACTCAGAGCAGACCTACGTGTAAGCACCCGACTCACGCACCGCCAGCAGACACAAAGCACGGCCAAGTGTGGACTCATCGGTGTGTTAGGCGTTGGAGCGTATCGTCCAGCGCAAGTTCCCCAATGCGTATGCGTCGCTGCGGCGGGAGGGTGTCGAGCTGGAGTGGGTCTGCCAAGAGTGGTTCCACACCCTCTTCTCGACTGTGCTGCCGGTAGACAGACATGTCACACGCACCTTCATGAATGCCTCCGTGCCAGAAGCACCTTGTCTGGCTCGTTCGTTGCAGATCCAGACGACCCTCCGTGTGTGGGACTGCCTCTTCCTGGAAGGCCACAAGATCCTTTTCAGGTCCGCAGACAGACGGACAGACAGACAGACAGAGGGCCATGTGTGCGACAGCCGTCCGTTACCCACCGTCTTGTGTGTCGATGTCATGCGTCAGGGTGGCGTTAGCGATCTTCAAGGAGAACGAGCTGCGGATCAGCAAGTTCCAGAGCCTCGAGGAAGTCATGGTCAGCATGCGAGAAATCAGCAGCCACCAGGTCACACAAACAGACAGACCGACCGACCGACCGACAGACAGACAGCGAAAGCTTTGCAGACAGCGGCCAACCACCTTTACCTGCAGGTTGACCACAACTCGCTTCTCAAGGCAGCATTCAAGGGCATCGGAAGGCTCAAACGGTGAGTCACACACCATTGTTTCGCTGACTGAACGATACACTCTCTCCTATTTCCGGTCCGTCAGGGCTCAGATCCGTCGCGAGCAAGCCTACGGCGAGAGGATGGTCGCCGAGGAGAATGCCGCCGCCCAGGCGAGGCGCGAGAGGCACAACCAGGCCCACCCTCCACCCCCAGCGAAGCCGCAGCTACCGGCCCTTGACAATCCTGGGCATGGTGAAGCTGGAGGGAGCGGCGAGGAGAGCCCCGTGGGGGCGGCGGTGAGGGAGGCGGCACGGCGGCTCGAGAGTGTGATCGATAGCTGCTACGACTCCATCCTCGGCGATGGAGATGACGACGTGGACGTGTCGCCTGTGGATGGGGAGCCGCCGGCCGCCAGGCTCCCTGGCAGCATACCCGCACTTTCTCCAGACAGTGTCTTTTCTTATCTGGGAGTGTCGGTGTCGTCGATGCTGCAGCCGAGCAATTCGAGCGATGCGACGCGGTCGTCGGTCAATGTGCATCGGGGGGACAACGCACTGGCGACTTCGCCAGCCAAGTGATCGATCCAAGAGAGATGCTGGTGGGGCGGAGGGGGGGGAGATGGGGGGTTTTTGGTTGGTATTTGTGTAAGGCAGGCAGGTTACTTGGGGCCGGCTGGCTGCAGTAGTACGTGGGGTTGGCATTTGTTAAGTTGTGAGTGTGACGGACGGACGGACGGGTGTGCATCTGTCGTCAGTGAGACATCTGTCGACCTTCTCGGACACAAACCAAGCTGGCTTGAGCTTGGATGAAATTATGCGATCAAGGTATGGGAACAGACGAACTTGTGCACTCACACACACGCCACTCATGCCCACCCACATCATGGATGCATTTTTGGTACCTGTCGCGGTCTCCCTGCCCACTGCTCCAGTCTGCCTGCCAGGAATCGGCAGCCCACATCATCCCATACACACGCTGCTACCTTCATCCCTTCAAACCTCTCTACACACTGACTGGACAAATATCCGTCGGTTGGCACCAACAGACCACAGGCAGGCATATTCCAGTTGACATGAATAAAGAGAGAGAGAAAGAGAGACACGTGCCCTTTGCTTTTTCAGTGGCGCCTGTCGTCCGCCGACACCATGGGCGACAAGGGCGGCGAGCTGGGCGTGTGCACCTGCTCCTCTTCCCTCAGCTCACACGCTGCCGGGGAATCGTCATCCCCATCCTGCTGCTCCTGCTGGTGCTGGTGGTGGTGCTGCTGCTGTTGGCCAGAATGGGTGCTGCTGCTATTCCGGCCTGTCTTACTTGATGACTGGCTGGAAGGGGGGAGGCGGTCCTCAGATGATGCCGACTGCGGTGGTGAGGTGTGCTGGTTGGACAGAGGGGTGATATCGTGTGGGGAGGAGTCGAGGAGGAAGGGGTGCTGCAGCGCCTCGGCTGCCGTCATCCTGTAGATGTTGTCCTTGACCAAAAGGCGCCGGACCAAGTCGGCAGCCAGTGGAGACACCTGCTGCACAGACAAAACAAAACAAAACAAAACAAAACAAGACTTAGAATGGCCGCTGAGACGCGGGTTTATCTCACTCTTGTGGTGTAGGGCGGCTCCTCTGTCATGATTTTCTGCAGGACTGTCGTCTCATCGCCTCCATCGAAAGGCATGGTCCCATAAAGGATGCTGTAGGCGATCACACCAGCCTGACGTAATGACACACAAACGCTGCGACCTCTCTCTTTCTGTGTCTCTCTCTCTCTCTCTCTCACTCTCCCCCCAAGGCATGAAATGAGTGCCTCACCGCCCAGACGTCGGCCGATGGGTCGATCTTTCGATAGACAGACTCTGGGGCGAAGTAGTGCAGCGACCCGCGGGCCTTGGCCTTCTTGTCATGCGAGTCAGCACCTGATGGCACCTCATCGACGTGTGTGGCAAAACCTGCATGGCCACACATACAGTGTTGAATGGTAGTAAGACATGGTAGAGAGGCAGCTCACGGACCAAAATCGATGATGCGCAGCAAAGAATCTTCAAAAACGTCATTGTCGAGCTTCAGTTTGCGACTGAACATCACGTTCTCCATCTTCAAATCCCTGTGGATCCACCCAAGGCCATGGAGATAAGCCAGCCCCTCCAGCACTTGTCTGATAAGCTTCCTGGCAATACTCTCGGGCACCGCGCCATTGTCATATCGCAGCGAGTACTCTAATAGGTCCCCGCCGGTGCACAAGTCGATGACGAGCACGTACATCGGGTCTCCCGTGTAGAAGTCGTGGCGTTGAATGATGTTCTTGTGCTGGTATTTCTTGAGGCATTCGGCCTCATTCAATGCCGACCAGCTCTCGCCCTCATCGGTGTCCGGGGGCTGCTCTCGCGCCGTCTGGTCCTTCCTCTGCCGCCTGAACTTCTTCTGCCGATAAGTCGCGTCCGTCTGGTTGGTCCTCCTCGTGATCTTCGCCGCCCTCTTCTCGCCTGACTGCTTATGCTGCACCATGATCACCTTGCCGTATGCACCTGCAGAACGAGAAAGACACAATAGGCATCAACAGTGTCTGATCCATCGCCCGTTGCACCACACAGTGTCACTCCGGCTGACCTTCGCCGAGCTCCTGTCCGATCTCATAGTCTTGCAGGAAGGCCGGGGGGAAGACTTCGAGCCCCGCCTTCGAGCCCTTACCGCCCATCGCTGAGAGAAAATCCTCCGAGACGGGGGGCGGGGGGGGGGGCGTTTTGCGAGCTCAGTCTCGAACAACGTCGCATTACCACTGCGCACCTCTCCGTGTTGAGATGGACGTCAAGTCTTTCCTCCTCTCGTCCATCGTCGGCTTCCCGGCGTCGTGCTTTGTCACATCCATCGTCGCAGCTGCATTCTTCCTCTCACACAGGCTGGGCTTCCCCCAGTTCGCCCTCCTTCGGCAGATCCTGAGCTCCCTCGCCGCCAATCGCGAGGCAGATGGACGAGGGGGAAGGAGTCACCAGGTGCCAAACACGCCAAAAACTGGCGGCTTCGAGGAGGTGCAGCGGAGTGCGGAGGAGACCCTGGGTCTGGCGCTGTGTGTCTTGCTGAGCGGGACTGGATTCATGAGCCCTTCCGGCATTCTCAAATGGGGCCCGCTACCGATTACACGTAAGCCGCACTACAGTCATCAATTCAGCTCCATATGCGTGCATTCACTCTTCCTGCCTTGCTTGTTCGTTTGTTTGTTTGTTTGTATCCAAATCACCGTCATGCCCTCTGCCATCATCCATATCAGTATCGGTGTAAGACACAACTATGCGCAGCCACTCACTGGCCCTGCGAATACGTGTCGCTTTTCGCCTTCAGGTGTGCGACATACGGTGTCTTTTTCAGCATTTTGCGCTTTATCGAAGTCCATATGATTTGCTCCTTCCCCTGGAGGGGATCACGCAGACGCATCTCTCGTCTCTTGTCGCCGATCCACAGGCGAATGGCCAATAGAAACCCAGGCTTCGGCCCCGCTATCCGCAGGAGATCGTCGCTCGGCGCGAGAGGCATCACTCAGGGAATTAGGTAAGCCGGAAACCATGCAGCTGTCTGCTGTTCCACGGCTATTCCCCTTCCCTCCCTCTCTCCCTCCTTCCCTTGTCTGTGTCAGTTTCTTCGTGTCTCGTCTCGTGCCGTCGTCCAATCTTTCCCTCCTCTACTGCTCTCTCCTGTTTGTGCTCCTCGGCACGTCAATGGCGATCCAGGCGAGAGGGATTGCTGCCGTGGTCACCGTTCCCTCTCCTATTGTGGCCTTCACTTGCGGCCTGCTGGTGCTGACCCTTCTGCTGTGGCCGCCTGGGAGGATGTCGGGCCTCCCTTGTTGCGTGCTGAGCTGGTGTGGCTATGTCAAGCTTCTGGGAACGATGGCCTTGCTGACGGTGGGCTGCGCGATGCGGCTGATCAAGAGGAGCAATCAGGTAAGTCTGAGACTGGTTCTCACGGACGAAGCACGCTGTCTCCATTTCTCCCTTTGTGTGGCGGTGTAGGCTTGTGGTGTGAGCTGGCCGCCGCCTGCATGGACGGTGGAGAACATGCGGGAGACGCTGAGGGGCTGGGATGTCGCGGCCTACACTTTCTACGTGAGAGACATCATCCTCTGGACCCTCATATCGTCCGAGAGCGGTCTGGGAACAGCTGCGCTGCTCTTCCAAGAGGCCGAAAACACCCCAAAGCAGCGCCTCGAGTTGAGCTCTCTAGCCACGCTCAGCAGCTGGCTCTTCCTGCCTGTCCCCGTGTGCCTTCTGGCTCTCGCAAGCCTGATGGACGAGGGATGCGATAAGGGGAAAGTGGCTCACGCAGGGGAGAATGGAGCTATATTTCTCAGTGACGTGCTGGAGTCTTCCCTGACGAGCCGACATGTAAGCGCCTTGAGAGTCCAAGCTCTGAGGAGAGACTACTCGGATGTGTGTGTACATCGCCTTCTAGAGCGGTCTTGTGAGGGCATGGGTGGGCGCAATGGCATTGACGTCATTCCTGACGACAGCCCTCGTCATGAGACACTTCCAGACTTCACCAGGTACACCAATGCCGAGGATACTGAGACAAGAGAAGTGTCGATCCACCATTTTTTTGTGTGTGTGTGTTGGCTGCAGGCGGCTTCAGCGCCACAGTCGTGCTGGCACTGGTCCCCTTGATTGGCGTGGCATTCAGCGAAGAGGACCTGATGCTGTTCCACAAGTTGCTGGCCATCCCCCTCCTGTGTCTCACGGTGCTGACCATGCTCATCTGGTCAAAAAGAATACGGTCAGTGCACAGAACAAAGATGCCTCAGTGCAGCGATACATACAATCATGTCTTCCTTGTCTCCTCTGTGTCTCAGTGAGAACTTGGAGTGGGATTGTCAGCCCAAAGACCTGCCGGCCATCAACCTCATCGAATGCGACGGCAACGTCAAGTCACTGGTGGCCCCAAGGATCCCATCACCTCGCATGGAGCACCCCTTTTACCCCCACACCGCCGAGGCACCTGCAGCGCCCTCAACCCCTTCATCATCAGACGAGGCGGGGTCAGCCAGCGAGGACGAGCCGAGCGTTGTCAAGGATGCTTCGTTGGACACCACGAGACAGCGGGCTGTGCTGTTCCTGCCTCTAGGTGCCAACAAGGAAACCGCGCTGACTCTGCCGACGGCCGACGTCAGCCCGCAAGAACGAGAAAGCAATCCTGTCGAAGCACGCGTCAGCCCTTTCCTGCCGTCTCTGTCTTTGCCACTGATGGGGCCACCAGGCAATGGCGAGACATCATCGGAATCAGCAGCAGCAGCAGCAGGGGCCCCTCCCCCCTCCCTCCTCGCCCCCCGGATCGCCCTCAGCGGCACCTTTGCCACCCTTGCTGACGTGCCGACCGACTCTCCCACGCTGCGAAGGACGCTCAGTCATCCACTGAGTGCTTTAAATGACGAAGAGGGGTCCCCATCGATGAGAAGGCGACACCCCGCAGCTGCCAACGCGCGTGCGGCCCGCCTGCGGCTTCCCACCACTCATCTGTCTGTACAGCTCTTCCAAGACAAGTACGCCTCGGCTATGCTCAAGAAGAGAATCGCCAGCGGTATGGACGAGAAGAGGCCGCAGTCAGCTGAGCAGCGGCAGGAGGGGGAGATGGGGGCTGGAATGCCACCAGCCGCATCGGCCAAGAGAAGGCCCGTGCGGACACGGACGGCGCCGGCGCGGTCGCCGGTGGGCTTTCTGGCGAGGATGCTGACGAACGATGCTGACGAGACATGAGAGTTGTGGCGGGGCGTCGTGTTATGCGTTTTGCTGTGCTGTGGTGTGTGTGTGCCCTGTCTGTCGGTTTTGTGCCTCTCTGTTTGCTGCCTGCGTCCTACTTTGGGGGCTGCAGGCGTCCATCTTTGTGGAATGGGTCGTTGACGATCGTCCGTGATTGGACTTTTTGACGCTTCATCCACTCGATTGATGTGCCAGACGACAGACGTCCGTCCATCCATCCACACATTGACCACCCGTGAAGCAGCCATGCAGGCGACAGCACCTTCATATATACAGCCAGCCATGCAGCCAGGGTAGCAAGCTCTCTATCCAGCAAATGCACACACACACACACACAGACGCTCCCCCTCCAGGAGCAGAGAATCCGCTCACCCCACCCGATGACCACCCATTTCTCTCCCTCCCCCTTCCCTCCATCCTTGCCTATGTATCACGGTTGAGGGGCTCGCGCATGATCTTGGTGAAGTCCTCCTTGGTGATGAAGTACTTGTCCTTGTCCTCTGTCTTGCCCTTATCTGTGCCTGTATACACACACGAACACACGCACATACGCACAGCGCCGGGAGGGCGGGTGCACATCTTCCCATCCATCCATCCATCTCGTTGTGTGTGTGCGTGTGGGTTACCCGATGCGAACATCTTGATCATTCCCGTGAGGTCGTCCTCGTCCATGGTCTCGCCCACCTTCTCCGCTACCTGCACCGACACACACACACACACACACACACATGCACACAGGAAGCCCTGTTCTTAGCGCCACTGCCTCTTCCCCTTGGCAGCACAGATGCACTCACGCGTACGTACCTTTTTGAGTTCACTGAGTGTGATCTTGCCGTCCGCTCCCCCGAAACTTATCCACGCCTTGTCGATGTCGTTGTCACTCGAATCGGGGCCCTGCATCAGCCACACACACGAGATTGACCATCCGCCGCTTATCCAATCCATCTCCCCTTTGTCTGTACCAGTTTGGCGCTCATGGTCTTGCGGAACTCGTCCCAACTGATGTTGTTGTCCCCGCCCTGGTCCACGTTGCCAAACACCCTCCCACACGCCTCTTCCGCCTGCGACTCGCTAAACCTGTGGACAAACAAATCCCACACACGCACTCACACATGCCACTTGTCCACGGAATGACGGACGACTGGAGTGGCCTTACTACTGACTGCTTACGTACCCGATTTGCATCATCCGTTGCTTGACCTCCTTCTTCTCTATCTCTCCACTCTTGTCCTCGTCAAACAGGTCAAACGCACGCTCGATCTCCTTGCGCTCAGCCTCCTCCAGCTGCCTCTGCAACCACCACCGCCACACACGGAATGAAATTGGAGGTTGGTGTTGTATGCTCTGTTGCCTACCGCAGTGGTCGGCGGCGACGACACGTTGGAAGCCCCCTGCATCTCGGACAACTATTCCTTTGTTATTCCCTCTTTTGCTTTCCCTCGCACTGCGAGCTTACCAGAAAAGCTGGCGATCCACTCGCGGAACGGGAAAACGTCCACGAAAGCTGTATGCATGAGTACAGAAGCCAGCTTCCTGCCCAGACTCACACACCAGCTCCTGAGCCAAAAACAGCAGCTTTTCCATTGCAAATGACTGATTCTTCATCAGTGCGTGTTGCTGGACCACCCGAGTGCCTCTCCCACTCAAAAACATGCTGTTTGCGCCAATGACTGAAGGAGCTGGCTCCTTTGAACCACAGCTTTCTCATTGCAAGACACACACAAGACACCACACCACCCTTCGTAGTGCACAGGTGGCAGATGGACAGTCACAGACACGCCCGCGCGAAATGTCAAAAAGGTGGCTTATTGGTCCCCGACTCTCGTCCCAGTCGGTCATTGACGATCGTCTGTGATTGGACTTTTTGACGCTTCTGCATCCACTCGATTGACGTGCCAGACGACAGACGTCCGTCCATCCATCCATCCGTCCGTCCATCCATCCACACACTGACCACCCGTGAAGCAAGCATGCAGGCGACAACACCTTCATATATACAGCCAGCCATGCAGCCAGGGTAGCAAGCTCTCTATCCCAGCAAATGCACACACACACACCTACACCTACACAGACGCTCCCCCTCCAGGAGCAGAGCCCATTTCTCTCCCTCCCCGATTGCCTCCCTCCTTGCCTGTGTATCACGATGTGTCTGTCTCTGTGAGGGGCTTTTTCATGATCTTGGTGAAGTCCTCATACTTGATGAAGTTGCCATCCTTGCCTGAACAGACACATACACGCACATACGCACATCGCAGGGAGGGCGGGTGCAATGTCCACACATCCATCCATCCATCCATCTCGTTGTGTGTGTGCGTGTGCCCTACTCGCGAACATCTTGATCATTTCCTTGAGTTCGTCCTCAGTCACGGTGTCGCCCAATGTCTTCGCTGCCTGAATCGACACACACACATATACACAGGAAGCCCTGGTCTTAACGCCACTGCCTCTTCCCTTGTAGACAGCACAGGTGCACTCGAGCGTACGTACCTTTTTGAGTTCATTGAGTGTGATCCGGCCGTCCGCTCCCCCGAACTCCATCCACACCTTGCTGATCTCGCTGTCACTCGAGTCGGGGCCCTGCGCATTCATTGCACAGATGACATTGACCATCCGCCGCTCATCCACTCCATCTCCCCTTTGTCCGTCCGTCCCACATACTGCCTGCCTGTACCAGTTTGTCGCTCATGACACTGTAGAACTCCTCCCAACTGATGTTGTTGTCCCCGCCCTTGTCCACGGTGCTCAACACCTTGTCCAACGCACCTAAACTCTTGGCATCGCGAAACCTGTGGACAAATTCCACACACGCACACACGTCACACGCACACACCAGACGGATGGATGGATGGAATCCCCGACCGCTTACCCAAGTTCGTGCAGCCGTTCCAGTATCTCGTCTTTTTCTATCTGTCCGCTGCCATCCTGGTCAAACAGGTCAAACGCACGCTTGATCTGCTGGGTCTCGGGGTCCTTCAAATCAATATGATCCTGCAACCACAGCCACCACCGCCACACGGAATGAAATGGAGGCTGGTGGCTGTATGCCGTGTTGCTTACCGCAGTGGTCGGCGCCCTACCGATCATTTCCAACGACTACTCCTTTTCGCTTTTTTCCAGCAGCCGGTTTCGAGGATCCGCTTGTGCGAGCCGTAGGCCGACCGGCGGGAACCAACCCGCAACCATTTCACCTTTTCTCGCCATCGTAACTATCGTGTGGGGCATCAGGTGAGGCAAGGAAGCCAAAGAAACAAACGAAGTGCCGGATCCTTTCATCCTTGTGTGTTGTATTCAGGGTCAATGGCATCCATGAGGCAGCTGACCCGCGTTGAGGCCACATCCCGCCTCGACACGCAGATCGTCACTCTCCTCGAGGGCATCGACGCCCAGCGTGCAGAGATCGCATCCACTTACAACGCGGGCAAACTGCTGACTGACCACGGCGCCTCTGACGGCTCGGCGGCCTCAGCTGCTGACGACCTGCTGGGGCTCAACATCGGCGGGAGTCTGTGCTCTATGCGTCGGAAGCACATGACGCTGGTGGAGGGCACGACGCTCGCATCGCTCTTCTCGGGCAGATGGGATCGGCGATTCGTCCGCGACGGCGACAGCCGTGTGTTCCTGGACGTCTGTCCCGCTGCGTTTGAGGCCATCCAAGACGCCATCTATGCCGATGGGAAGGAGGCAGTGGCGCATTTGATGGGCGAAGCCGCCAAGAGAAACCACCAAGGTGTGTGCGGGGGCAGAGAAGAAACGAACTATGCAGGACGATGGCATGCATGTGTGTCCGTGTTTGTAGGGCCGCATGATTTCTGGTTCTTGAAGCTGCTCACGAGTCCAGCATCACAGCACCACCCGCGTGACGACGGGCCTGCAGATGACCACATCGACGCTGCAGACATGCCATCCATCTCGAAGGGCAAGGTGCCAAGGCTTCATGGCTTTGTCGCTGCCGTGGAGAGCTTCCTCAATGGATACCTCGCCAAACACGCGGAGGTCGAGAAAATGCGCCGTGAGAAGAAGGCGGAATGTGCCGAACTGATGGCTGAGATCAAGGTCAGGGTAGTCGCGATGAATGGCAGCAGTTCTTTCGTCACCGGTTGTGGTCTGTTGTGTGTTTTGCAGGCCTTCACATCCTTCCTGAAGCCGCTCGCTGGTGATGGTGCCATCCGGTCGGTCACGGTGAGTGGCAGGACTCTCTCTACGACACAGGCGACCGTCGACGAGATGAGCGACACACTCAGGAACCGATTCGACTTGTATGCACACATGAAACGAACACGCAAGGTTGGTGCTTCCCTTCTGATGCTACATGTCTTTCCCTTCAGGTGGCCGGCTCCCATTGAGGACGTGCCTGTCGACCACGTCCGTCGACTGATCGACCACTACCGCCGCAAACGCCACGCGGCTGGGGCCGGTGGCGCACAGCTCAGTGTTGGGGTGGATGTGCCTCTCCGTATAGCCGGCTCGGTCGAGCAGCACTGGTTCCGCAAGACAGCCACCATGTACGGCGTCGACTTGTCGATGCATGGGCTGTACGGCGTCGACGTGTCGATGTATGGGCTGGAGAAGACGCTGCTCAGCGACAGCAGCCTCACGGCGAGCCTGATGGAGTGTCTACAGGGCGCAGGGGTCGGACATCCGACCAAGATCCAACACCGAGGCAGGTCCGTGAGCTGAGGACATCAGTATATCTGCCTGTAGACGGACACGTACATATTTGGTGTCCCTTGATTGTCAGTGCTGGCGACTCATCGCTGTTTCCCTTCTTCGAACAAGCCGCGATTCCCTCCCACGTGTGCCTCATTCGCTTGGGCGAGGCGTCTGTCGTGGGCTGGATCTACAACAAGCCGGAGCAGGTGATCCACCTCGTCTCACTGAGCCCCGAGCCCAAGTGCGTGAGGCTGCCGATTGATGGGGACCACACAGTCGTTGTCGACAGGAACGCATCGATTCGGGTGGGAACGTTGGCACGGTACTTTGGGTTGAGGCTGTACGGAGGCGCTTTCACGTTTCACGGCTTTGGAGGCAATCCGGACGATCGTCGGAGAAGAGTTCATGCTGTGGTTCCTGAACGGGGGCATTTCTCTGCTGCTGAGGTCTTTGGGCTGCTGTGACAGCGCTTCTTGTCCATCAGTCGTTTTTCTCGTGTTGCATGGCTCGACGGACGAATCTGGGATCATGTTTGTTTCGAGTTTGTGTCTGCAAACGTGTTTGTGTCACTGTCGCACGGTGGCGTCACACGTGTGGCGCCGCTTTATGGGGAAGTGCAGTGCAGTGATCTTGCTGTCGTGCTAAGCGGCTCACGCATGGATGTACGGGCGCTCCATCTCGTGTGCGTTTGGTTCTTATTTCTTTCATTGAACAATGTGTACTCGATTGAATGAATCTTCGCTCGTGCGTTCGTGCGAATGTCTTTGTCGACTCACTAGCTGGTGCCGAACATGGCCAAGAGCTTCGGATGCACACTCACGACACCACCACTACTACCACCATCACCACCGCCACGCCCATCCACAGCCCCTTCCCCATTCACCGACACGTCCACACGAGCACTCTCTGCTTTTGCAGCTGTTCCATCTGTCTGCCACCCCGTCGACAGATCAGCCAGCAGCTCTGGGCGGTGTGTCCTCAGAGCCTCCTCCAACTCCATCCACAAACCTGCATGCCGACCTTCAGACACACCTGATGTAGGGATGGATGACCACGCACACAATCTCACACCGGGGAATAATACACGAGCCTCGCTCTCAGTTGACAGCTCACTGACCTGAGACTTGTTCTGGCTTGAACCTGAGGAACTTTGCCGTGGCGCGGAGGCCCCTGGGGGAAACGAAGTTCTGAGTGATGGCAAAGGTGTCGTCCTCCAGGTTGAGGACGGCGTGCCACCATCCCCGTGGGATGAACAGCAGCTCCCCGGCACACACTGTGGCCTCCAGAGGCCTCACACCACCTGCACAAAGACAGCACACACACAACGCACAGATGGGATGAATGCGTATTGGTGGAGTCCGCTTGCCACACCGCTTACCGTAGTCTGCTTGTTGGGTGGCGTCGTAGAAGTTGAGTAACCACTCGACGAGCGACACTGGCTGGGTGACCTCTGCCCCCCCACGAGATGGCGACACGCCAGGCGGCACGTGGCCGGGGGGAAGCATAAACCACTTCTTCGCACCTACAGGCAGCACAGCAACCGACAGGAACAAATCGCATCGTGTTGATGGATGGAGTCCCTGCACGGCCGTCGCTACTTTATCACCCACCTCTAATGACGCCGTTCCACGCCGAAGTGGCGTTTGGGTCGACGTGCCACTTGCTGCCGGATCGACGGTTGCCAATCAACAGCCACCTGACATAGACACACACAACCCACACACACGAACAGACGTACCGGTACAATGTGTCATCGATCCATCCTTTCTCTTCTAATGACCGGAAGTTTGGTCTTTGTGGTAGAAGTGCGAACATGTCCTCAGCGAAGTACTGCGGCGGTGTGTAGTCGTCGGCCATGAAGGGGGCCCTGTCGGCGAACTTGGGGTCGAATATGAAGAGGGGGTTGTCGTCCTCATTCGCATCGGCATACGCGAAGAAATCACGGAGCGACATATCAACTGACAGACAGGGGGTCGGCGAAGGAGGAAGGACACACATGCTATGAGGCTTTTGATTTTGTGTGTGATGTGCCTGCTACCTGGCCCAGCGGTGAATTTGACATGGCCGGCACGTTTGAGCAAGTGCTCACGGCTCCACTTGCCGTAGGCGGGCCACCTGTCAACCACACCTGACCGGACATCAATACACGGCCGGCGTGATCGTCTTTGTGTCTGCATCGACTGTGTGTTGCATTCTCACTCACCTCTAATGATGACAGGCACATTGGGCGTCTCGTACTCACGGATAGAATCACCCACAGACAGGGCGGCCGCATCTCGGCGATCAATTGTCTCAGTGCACAACCACCTGGAACACAAAGGCACAACGCAGGAGTGTCGTCTCGGCGCATCCACCGACCACCACTCTTCTCACCGTCTCTTGAGGGGCACTGATGCACAGTGGAAGCGTTGGAAGAGCCAGTCGGAATAGAATGACGGCACGCGGACCGATGCAGGCGCCACCGAATTGACCCCTTTTCTGTGCGTCATGGTCAGCCAAGTGCATCGCCAGTCCTTGTGGTACTGAAAACCATCCCTGAAGTCATCCGTAACACGCTGAGCGAGGCGCAAAACGACACACGAACGAGGTGAGATACCACAGTGGGGGGGCGGTGTGCATCATGTGTATGCACTTCACCTGCATCCACAGCTCTTCGTGGTTGGCGAAGACGTAGAAGCTGCGCGACACACGGGCCACCCTTCCCAGCTCCACACACGTCAAGTGCTCAAACACGGTGCACACCTGACAACACAAATCATGCACACACATCAGCGGACCATCACAAGGCCACATGCATCCCTGTGAGTGCACCCACCGCAAAGTCACTGAGTGGCTTGAGCATTCCAAGGCCCGCATCTCGGCAGTTGCGGCCTCCATCGATGAGCAGGTTGCCCAGTGGCCGAATCTGATGGATGGACGAAACACACAAGCACACAAGCAGAGAGAGGCAGCGCATGAGGCGTTTGACTCATCCCTCTTTATCTTGCTGTACCCCGATCGGATGTGACGATCTCGGACGCTTGCTGGGAGGCTCCACCGTCGCAGTATCGGCACGGGAGAGGTGCTCGGCTGCCTTTCTGACAGTGCTTGATGACGTTTTCGAGCTGCTCATGGAAGATCGCAGCCCAGTTTCTTCAAGTGTCATACCCAAGATCTTTGCGGACGGCCCTCCTCTCGCGGTTTCCTTGGCGCGAGCTTGAGATTCAAACCCTGAACCCCAAACCCCACGCGACTGCGCGGAATCAACACAGGCGAGGACGGTAGATGGCGTCACACCGACAGCTGCCAAGGAGGGGCTGATCGTGCTGAGTGCTGCTGGTTTGTTTTGGAGCCGTGGGTGGTGCTGCCTGCCGTCGGTGGCGGTGTTTGAGTGTAGCGTTCCATCGTCAGTCATGTTGACTGGGTTGCTGTATCTGTTTGTGTGGCTGTCTGCCCTGTTTGCGTGGATCTATCACACCTACCCCTTCCCCTTCTTCATCAACGGCAGATGGTACTGGGTCAGGTACGACACACGCCGCACACACGTGCCTGACATGAAATGCCATCCTATCCCATGGTGTGTGGCTGTTCTCTTCAGATGGTACTGCTACCCGAACGGCGACGTGGCGCGCAAGCTGCAGAGCCAGATCAGCCAGATCACGGCGTCGACCATCGGGTGTCTGCTCGACTACCGCATCTTCCAGGACGTCAATGCGTTCAGCAACAAGATACTCGTCGTCGCGTTCGACTTCTGGACCGCTCAGCCCGTCTTCTTCAACTGCGTGTTCCGATCTGACCTGCCCACTGAGATAGAGGAGAAAATGCCACAGGGGTGAGTGAGCAGACAAAGGGGAATGAAGACACATGCAGGCGGCAGAATCACGCTGGCTGTGGTGGTGTTCCTGTGTGTGTGGTGTGTGCAGGTTGCGCAATACGCCTATTCTTCATCTGGGCCTCGTTATGACGCTGCCGTCGCACCAGGCATGGACATCCATGAGCAGACGACAGCCGGGGAGAGAGGGGTCGGTCACATGTGTGCTGCTGTGTGTGTCTGGTGTGTGTGTGCAGGGTCGTCACTTGCAGCGTTTCTCGATACTGAACATATGGCTGTGGCTCTTCTTCAACAAGAAGACCAAGTGCATCCTCACGGACATCGGCAACTCATCGTCGAGCACCAGGTAGCCTCCCTACACACAGGCAAGAATGAGTGAGGGGCCACATGTGTGTGTCTATGTGTCTGTGTGTGTGTGTGCAGGTTGTGGGCTGACAATTTGTTGGATCCGTTCCCCAACTACCACAAGTGGGAGCTGGTGCCCAAGAAGTGGCACACACTCACCGCACACTACATGCTGCAAAACTACAAAATGTAAACACACACACACACACACAGAGAGAGAGAGAGAGAGCTCTTACCTTCTCTGTGTATATGTGTGTATCTGTGTGAATCAGTGAGTTCGGTAGCAGTCTGTCGGCGACTTTTGACCTGGAGAGTTTCGTGGTCCGCGGGTCGAACGCCAAGGAGGGCGGCGGCGCCCACCAGCTGATCAAGTTCAACAAGACCCGCGAGGCCCGCAACAGGAAGGTCCTCGACTTCTACCAGAAGCACCTCAAACTCTCTGCCGAAGACGAGGTCTTCCACGTCGCCGTAAGTGGCACACACACGCGCACACACGAGATGGGCAACAATGCATCCTTTGTGGCATTTTGTGTGCAGGTCGCGTCTATCCCGCACTTTCTGTTCGGCACTGCGGCGGTGCAGGAGTTCATATGAGCCGGCAGGGGGCAAACGGATGGCCCTATTTCTCTTTCTCTTGCTTCCTCGGTCACTTACTCGTCTGATGCGTGTGTGCGTGTGTGTGGGGGGGGTGTGGATGGGCAGGAGGGAGACGAGCAGGGGATCTTTATGCCTTTACGTCGCCCTGTCTGTGCGGCCGGCTGCCTCGATAGCTGACAGCCGCCCGCCCCCCCGCCTGCATATTTCTTTGTCCGGATGGATGTGTGTCTGTATGTTTGGGGTCGATTTAAGGGGTTTCGTGGCTGCACATGGATGCGCCCATTGCAGCTGTGGTCGATCATGGCAGCACACTTCAGCTAATGGATGGACGAATGGGAGATGAGCGGCTGGAGAGTCGGTGCTCTTTTTCGATGATGCAAGCAACCAATGCATGCAGCCAGCCGTGTGTGTACGTGTGTAAGGGTGTAGGTCTCTCTGAATCTGCGGACGGAGCCTCAGGGGGGCCAAGACACGAACGACTGAGAGGACGGGCCGGTGCGTGTTTCGACCTTCTTTTGTTTTTTCCGTTCCGTTGGGTTCGTTTGACCCCTCTTCGTAGCGATGGAATGATTGTGATGGCCCTTTTTCCCGTGTGGGCTGATCCCCTCTGTCTGGCTCGCCGACCTCACCTGTGTCGATAGCGTCCTTCTTATTTGACCATGTGGCCTGCCGTCCTGCCCGTCTGTCTGTCTGTCTGTGTACTCTGTGCGTGTGTGTGACGTCGTCTCTTGTCGATCGCTCAGTTTTGTCGAAGTGTCCCCCCCTCCCTGCCCCTTCGTTCTTGTCTGCCTTGCTTCTATTCTACCTGGCCACTAGCTCATCTGCCATCTGCTGAACGACTTTGATCGACTGGTGCCGTTTGTGCGGATGCCCGGTTGTCGTCTTCGGTCTTGGTGTCAGGCAGTCATGGTGATGCAATCGGCAAATGGTTGCGGTACCTCGACGCTCGGCATCAGGGCCACAGACGGAGAGAGGCAGCTGCCAAGGCATGACCTAAATCGATGTGATGGACATCCATCAATGTTGGCTTGTGGTTGACGTGTCATGCTGGGAGCGGTAACGGCTCCTTCGTGCCGGTGATCCCCGGCACTGAGGATCCGTTGCCCATGCCGGTGCAGACACATCAATCACAGGCCATGGGCTTGGGAGAATGGCAAAAGATATCCGCAGCGTTTTGCGATTCGTCGAGTGAATGTGTGTCTTGGCTTCCGTTGCTGTTTTGGGTAAGCTACTGGTACATGTCGTCACCCTCTCTGCATTCCTCCGTTTCTCGTGCTCGTCCCTCTCTCTCGCTCTCTGTCTCTGTGTCTGTGGGAAGGTACGGTATATTGCGAAGCGCAATTTAAGCTGTCATGGTGCGTCGATTCGTTGATCGTGATGGGTGGACGGATGGATGGATGTGTGGATCTGTGGATGTCTGCATTCCTTCGTGTGCACGTCGAATCATTCCACTCACTCCATGGCATTCTCGCTTACGTGAATTTGTGTGTGCGTTTGGTGGCTGCATGGCTGGCGATGCGATGTGGCTATTGCGATGTGGCGCGATGCCGCATCGATCTGACTCACTGACCCCCATGGACGGACGGACGGACGGACACTTTCAGTTCCCGTGTGCAATGATACTTATGGTCACTGTGTGGGCAGAGATGCGACAAGCGCATTGCAAGGTGACCTTGGGATGGTCTGTCTGTGTGTGGTGGATGGCCTGCTGTGCGGCAGCGTCGCCCTCGTCGACTCGCGGCAGCTGGATGTAGCACGCCTCATTCACACCACTGGGGCGTCTGTGCCCGTCTTGCACACTGTCGCCCTCCGGCCCTGCACACCGGGGGCGCGCTGCGTGGGCAGCGAGCGGATCACTTGCGGGGGGCGTCTCGGGAGCTCGTGTGGCTAAGATGTGGGGTTTCACGGAGAGATTCCTCGCAAAACAATCCAGTTTTTGCAGGGAACTCTCGTAGTTTTTCCCCTAGTCGCAGACCTCTCCTCCTCCTCCTCCTCCTCCTCCTCCTCCTCGCTCTCCAAGGAATACGACAGCCGTCCTATGGGACTCTGAGGACTCATCGGCAGAGAGGGCCTGACGAGCGTTCCTGCTCACAAGAGCTTGATTCGACCCTGAAAGAGAGCCTCGGTGCTCTGCGAGGCTAAGAGAGCGCTGCGATAGTGCGTCCTTTGATAGTGGTGTTATTTGGTTGAGCATGGGAGGGAGGGCAGCTCAGCCGCCGTCTGTTGGTTGACGTGTCGGGTACGGCCTTGTGCAGCCTGACGGAGATTATTTATTATTTGGAGGGCGCCAGGCGCAAACCGCCTATCGCCGACGCTGACGTGGCCTTCCCGACTGAACCAACTGACTACCTGCAGGTAATTGCACTCCGCACTGAGAGCGCCAAGAGCAGTTTAGTGCAGACAGGACACAGGATGATGCCCATGCGTGCATGCAGCCAGGCAGCCTGGGATGTGATGTGCCCTTCCTTTTGCCTGTGTCGTGTGCGTTGCGTTGCGTTGGCCAGGTGTGGCGTGTCAAGGAGGTGGTGGACCCTTCAGCCCCGGAATCGTCCTCCCGGCGCGTCCGCATCGACGATCCCATCCCGCTGCTGTCCCCCGACGGCACCGCATTCGTGCCCCCCTGTTTGGACAGTGAGGAGGTCTACACCATCCTGCACATTCGGTGCGAGGCGAGCGGGCAGAGGAGGAGTGTGGGTGTGGGTGGTGCTGGCGCGCCTTGTTGCGTCGAGGGCGACCTGGCTAGAGTGCTCGAGGAGAGTGAGACCAACGTCAGGGAATACACCAGACAAACCACGGTCGGTGAGAGGGAGGGATGGAGGGAGGGAGGGAGATGTGCACTCCAGGGCATTAAGAGGTGTGGGTGTTTGTGTGGGTGTTTGTGTGGTCAGTCGTGGGCGTTGCAGCACAGCGATAGTCTGCATTCGCGGCCATCCCCCTCCCCATCCTCCCCATCTCCCGTGTCGCGTGTGATTCGGTGTGACTGCTATTCGTGGATCGGCACACACGCACCCGACCAAGTCGAGGTCAGTCAGCATCGCTGTCACTTATCCATTGATCGGTCTCATGCTCTCTCTCTCTCTCTGTGGTGTCATTGTCATGGTCTGTATGTCTGTGGTGGTGGGTGGTGTGGGTGCGGTGCAGTGTCATGGTGATTTTCTGGCCACAAAGCTGCAGCAGGTGCTCGTAGATTGGGGACTGTTCAAGAGGTACGGTTTGTACTCACGTTGACCTCTTGAACACGGGCGTCATGTCACGTGTTGGCCATTTCTGCTCTTCTGGTTTGGTTCGTTCGTTCGTCAGGTACTGGTGCGAGTTGGCCGCATCGTTTGTCCTCCTTCCGCCATCGCCCGACGCCGCATCGCTTACACCCCTCCATACCACATATGGTCAGCCAGCATACTACACACCCCACACAACCAACCGTCATGGCTGTAACAATGCATGTAACGGTGCATCGCTCGTTCAGGCGCCCTGGCGTCCCGCAATTTGTTCCTGCACAATCTCTGTTCTCCCCACCCCGTCAACAACCTCACCGCCCATGACGACGGCGAGGCCATGCGGACGTACAGCAGTGGGCGTGGGGCGGGTGTGGCCTTGGACACCGATCGCACCATCGCCCGTCCGTCGCTGGGCACACCCCCGCCGGCGTCAGGCCAGGTGTGTGCGCGGTACGAGGAGCTGAGCAGAGTGCTGTGTAGTATGGTGGACCAGGGGGTGCACCTGACACCTTCCACCGCACCTGCACAAACACACGTACGTATGCACTGACTGACTGATGAGCGGATGGGTGGACGGGCGTGGCGCCTGCGTCGATGGATGGTTCCTCTCTGTACGTGCCTTGGTCTGTGTGTGCAGAAGGGTGCGCCTGACGAGCGCGTGGCCTCAAAGACAAATGGCACCCGTCTCTGAGGCTCGAGAGACGCGCCGACAGAGACAGCAACAAAGCCGACACCCCCCCGCGCCCCTATCGGCCACCAGCTCAGATGCAAGCTCGGCATTCCAGACGCCTGGCCGCAACAAGGAGGCGGTGGTGGTGGGCGAGCATCAGCACCAGCATCACCACCCCGCCGCCGAGCCAGCGGCGCCGTATGCGGCAGCCCCGGTGCTGACGCGGGGTGGCGGGAAGAAGCCTGTGGTGCCCGCGGTGATGCCACGGCTCAACCTGGCGGGGCTGGCGGACGTCAAACCCAAGATATCACCCAGACCCGCCGGAGCGCAGCCCACTGCCGGTGCTTCTCTCGGTGGTGGTGGCGGTGATGTGAGCCACAGGAAGGGGTCATCTCGGCAAGGGCGGCACCGTGCTGACGAGACGTCTGCATCTGTGTCGGCTGACATGATGGACACCGACATGGCAGACCATCACCGGTATAGATGCACCTCGCCGCCGCCCATTCGCCTGACGCCGCCAGTGGCGCAGCCGAGCGAGAAACGGCCGCAGAAGAGCGAGCCGCCCTCTCTCAGCCACCTCGTCAGCCCGCTGCCGCCGCCCAACACACCGATGGTGTCACGGCCGCCCTCTCCCCGCCCTTCCCGACAGAGCTCTTTCGAGGACATGAGTAGCAGCACCCAGCAGCAGAGGGTGGGTGATTTTAGAATGTAACACAGACACGTGACGCGGATGCACTGTGTATGTCTTGCATTTTGTATGTCTGTATCAGGCGTGTCTGAGCTTCCTTCATCCGCATCGCCTCGCCCCCCCTTCCAACCACATGCCCGGGCCGAGCAGCATCCTTTTCTCCAACGCGCCCACAAGTATGCGTGTCGAGTCACAACGCAACGTCCCATCCATCGCGCACACACATCGACCCGTGTGTGTGTATTCCTTCTTGTTCGTGCGTTCAGTCTATGAGCTTGGAAGGTCGCTGATACCCGCCCATGGATTGGTGCAGGAGCTGCTGGAGCTGCAGTTGAAACACAAGTATGAAAACCACACCAGCACCGTCACATTGCGGCATTCGTATGCATGCCTTGTTTTTCTGCCGGTGTGTGTGTACCATTCAGGACACTGCAAAAGGCTTGTCAGCGCGTCAAGGAAGCCCAGAGAGCCCACAAGATCGGGCGGCGCAACAGCTTCTCGTGAGTTCCGCCCGGCACAGCGAAAGGCACACGTGACTGACATCGACCGATTTGTCTTTCTCGCTTCCCATTTCTCTGCCATCAGGCGCCACACGGAGCAGCAGATACAGCAGCTGAAGGACCAAGTGCGGGCCCTCGAGGACGACCACTCGGAGAAGGGCAAACGCACCAGGTGAGCCCTTACACACACATACATATACACAATGCTCGCCCAGCCACAAGAGCGCACTTCGTCTTTTCCTAGGTTTATCGAGGCTCTCGAGGACAGCAAGGAACGGGCGGAGGCCGAGCTGCAGGTGGCCAGACAAAAGATCACCGACGAAAGCCGGTATGTCCGCCTTGCCAGCACACGCACCGACATCGCATTCGTCTCTGTGTGTGGCCTTTCTTCTGCTGTGTGTGCAGTCGAGTCGCAATGTTGGAGCGGGCCAAGCAGCAGCTCGAGCAGCAGCTGGGACAGCGCGACGCCGCCATCAGGTGACCACCACACACACATGTGAATGGACTCATTCCCACTCACACTTACACCCGCTCCCTCCCTCCCTCCCTCCCTCCCTCGTGTGTGTTGTGTGTGACGTCAGCCGTCTGACCGAACAGCTGGCCGACACCCAAATAAAAGTCACCGAGCTCGAGCACGAGACCGTGCTGCTCTCGGAAGCGGCGGATGAAGCGACGGAGCGCCAACTCGACACGATCAACACGTACGTGAGCGGGGCAAGCCGGGTCGACACACATGCACTCATTGAATTGATGTGTATGTGGGTGTGTGTGTGTGTGTGTTGCCGTGGGTCAGGCTGGAGGAGGAGCAGCGCCAGCGGCTCATGCAGCACCGCATCAAGATGCACAAGAAGGTGGCCAAGGTCGCGGCGCGCCGGAAGAAGCTCGCCGAGGGGTCAAAGCTGCTTGTCGGCCAGCGCACCAACCTCACACAAAAGCTGGTACGTTCCCTCCCTTGTGATTGCTTTCTATGCGTCCACGTTTCCCTCCGTTGTGTATGTGTCCAGGAGACGTCTGCGAGCGCTCGATTCCTTCTGTCGGCCGTGTTTCAAGCCTGGAAACAGACCTCCCCGCCCACCAGACACCAAGTGAGAATATACATACATCGGTGTGCGTCGCCTCCTCTCTCTCTCTTGTTGGTTGCCTTACTTACCTCTTGTCGCTTCTTTGGTGTGTTGCAGCAGCAGGTCGACAGTGCTGCCGTCGACTGGCTGCTGGAGGAGGAGCGGCGCTTCTACAAGGGCATCATACAGGACTACAAGGAAGAGATCACCGCAAACGCCCGTTACGTGGAGCGAGAGCTGGGGCACATGCGCGATGAGCTCGGCTGGACGAAAGCCGACCTGGAGGTGGCGCGGAAGGTGAGCGAGAGGCGCGGGCAGCTGAGATTCGTCATCCATGGGTCGACTGTGATGTGTGGGTATTATGTAGGACGCCTCGCCGGCCACGAACATCCATCTCGCATCTGTGTCGATGGCAAGAACTCTCAGCCAGGAGCTGAGAAGTCTCCTCGTCGAGAGGGAGGCGGAGATAGAGGTGGAGAGGGAGAGGAACGACTACGCTGCGTAAGCTTACTTACACCCACACACCCACCCACACACGCAACTGATGGATAGATCGATGATGCATTCACACACTGTCTACCTTTTTGGTCAGGTTCGATAATGAGCGCCTGGAAGGGCGTGTTGCTGACCTGACTCAGCAGCTAGCGGCTGTGATGCAGGAACGTGACACACTACAGGTGGGTCCACAAAGCATCTGTCTCATGATGTGTCTGTCCACACACACCTTGCCAACACCTGCACCTGCAGGCTCACCTGACCGAGGCGAGAGCTGCTGGTCCATCGTCAGCACCACCTCTTGCCGCCCCGCCCGCGCCACCCGCTGGACCCTCTCCCCCCACACAGCAGACGGACGGAGGGCTTTTCGTCGAGCCAAACCCCCAGTCGTCGGTCGTGGCTGAGGAGGTAGAGGGGCCTGCCAGTAGCCAGAGGGGGAGTTTGGAAGGGGGTGGGGGTGGTGTGCAGTACCCCCCGCCGCATCTTGTGAGACGTGACCTAATGCCTGATTCGGAAGACTTGTTGCCGCCCGTCGTGCTGCCCGGCCTGCCCGTCAGCCGCGACCTCTCGCAGCAGCGGAATGGTGCATCGATCGCGCCGGAACAGCCGCAGACGTTCCAACAAGCCCCAACTCTCGTCCAGGTCAGACAGCAGAAGACACACGTGCAGTGTAACCATACACACTTACATTCCTCATGACGCACGTGTCATGATGCGTTCAGCCTGACGATGCTCATGAGGAGGAGGATCTGCCGCCGCCCGTGGTCCTGCCCGACCACCACGCGCAGCAGGAGGCGCCCCAGCAGCTGTCAGAGGAGGCTCGCGGCAACGGCGAGATCCACGATATGGAGCGGGTACTCGACGGAGCCCAACAGCCCGACCAACGTCTCATCCAGGTACCTGACTTGCCAGCCAGCCAGCCAAAACGAGAAACACGCTCTCGCTCCAGCCAGCAGCTCATCTGTGTTCTCTCTGTGTGTGTGGATGTAGGATGTGGGTGGCGTGTCTGACATCCAGGAGGGCCCGCGCCGCCTGATTCAGCCACCACAGGAGGAAGAACAATACACTCAGGTCGGAGCTGCTGCAGCTGCCGCGGGCGGCGTGCAGTACGGCCTCCCACCTGCCGAACATCCAGCAGCACAGGATGTTCGACTCGACCAGGAGGAGGGTCATGCTGGCCTGCAGGAGGAGATCGAGCAGCAGCTGCTTCTGCATGAGGAGGAGCTCGAGGGACCAGCGGGCGAGGCGGCGGGATACCAAGGCGAGGATGAGGAACAAGTAGAGTACCGTGACGATGCTATCGCTCAGGTGAGGACACTGGAGAGATCAACGGTACATACAGATGTCATGGGTGTGTGTGTGTAATGTGTTGTGTTGTGTGTCATTCGTCAGCCGCTTGACATCGGCGAGGGTGCGGACCGCTTTGACGAGGAAGGGGAGGGCGAAGGAGAGGAGGAGGAGGAGGGCGACACACCAGCTGCCGAGCCCCAGGGGGCGCCTGGCAATGTCGAGATCAGCATCCCTGAGGAAGCGGGCATCAGACAGGACGGCAGATACACTGAGGCCGCCAGCAGTGGGGAGAAGTCTGTCGGGACGGAGCGGCTGGTGCAGCAGACGGTTGGCACTATGACAGCGGGCCTGATCTCGCTGGCCGAGAAGACCACCAACACTTACACGGGGCTCTTCCAGTCCACCATTGGCACCAACACGGCCAAAGCGTCCCTCCACAGCAGCACCACCCAGGCCAGCCCCTCTGTCCGCGCGAAGTCCACCGACACGGCCGCTCTGCCATGGGGGGAGGAGAAGAGCGTTCAGGCAGTGCCCCCGCCTCCTGCACCCACACACGAGGCGGCAGTGATGGCCGTCAGCACCATGCAGGAGGAGGGAATCAATACTGAGAAGGCTCACGTGAGGGAGGCGGGCACGGCCACCGTCAACGTGCAGACGCAGGAGGGGGGAAGCGACACACGAGGCCTGGTGGCTACAGCCACCAAACAGGTGAGCCAGCAGGACTGAGAGAGAGGGGGGGGGACATTCACGGGTAAATGGACGCTTGTATGACTTCGATCGCTTTCAGGTTGCTGCTGTTCTGTCGACCGAACCATTCTCGCAGCAAACCGGCGCGAGCGTCTTCTCTCTCCGCCACAGCACCACTGACCCACTCCCTTCGCCCCGCATCCCTGCCCTGCCCCTGCCGTACCCAGCAGCAGCAGCGGCAGCAGCAGCCAATGGGGCAGGTGACTCGGCTGTAGGATACCACGACAACGCTCCAGCGGTGTCACGGCCGAAGGAGGAGGCGTGGGAGATGCCGCGCATCCCCGAGTACATCCCGCGGCAGCCCGACATTCACGCCTACCCTGTGTTCATGACCGACAGCAGCGAGGACGGCCCCTCTGCCCCATCAGCCCAGACACAGACACAGCAGCAACAGCAGCAGCACCAGGAGGCTGAGCCATCGGCGGGCAAGAAGGACAGGGCCCCGTCGCGTGTGTCCAACGGCATCGCCGGCCCGCCCCCCAAGAAGCTGTCGGCGAAACGGCGCGTTGTCGGCAAGAGAGAGGAGGAGACCAACACCAACTCCAACTGCAACAGCAACACTTCCTCTGCCATCGTGTCGAAGCCCATAAGCGCGTTGAAGCTTCGTCTGGGACCGGGCGGCGGGATTGGGAGTGCAGAGGGCGTTCCTGTGGGTGTGGGTGTGAGTGCTGCGAAGGAGGTCCATGTGCCGCGCAAGACGGGCGGGCTGCAGAAGAGCGTGACGACCGGCGATCGGGATCGAGACACCAAGGGCAGAGAGGGCAAGGGCAACGGGAGTGGGCCCGGCAGTGGGCTGAGCAAGGTGGCCGCGGCCATCGCCGGCCAGCAGCAGTCTCCCAAGGGGCCGCCGGGACAGCTGCAGCAGCCACATCTCAAAGTAAGGAGGACAGAACACCGTCGCAGGGCAGGCAAGCAGTGGGATTGTGTTGTGTCTCTGACTGACATTGATTGCAGCGTCTGCCGACAGGCCCGTCGGTATACAAGCGGATGGTGCCTGCAGCCCAGCAGCCACCCCAGTACAGACAGCCGCCAGCCGTCCGAGCAGCCCCCAAAGAGGCGCCGACCAAGAAAGTGGCAGCCCCCGCCCCCTCTACTGACACACACAGCAGCTACCCCCCTCCTCGCCCGAGCGCCCCCGCCCCAGTAGGCATGGGCATGCCAGTGCTGCCGCCTCCAGTGCTGCCGCCTCATTATCATGGCTTCCCCTTCTACCACCCGATGGCCATGCCGCCCCCGGGGTATCACCATCTGAATGAGGACATGGACCTCACGCGACGGTCGGTCGGCCCGCCAGCACCGCCGCCGCCACCGCTGCCGCTGCCGCAGACAATTTGGCCGCAGAGCAGCCAGTCGTTCTACATGAGCAGCGGCACAGCGCACACGGCCACCAGTGTGGGTGGGACTGTGCACCAGCACATGCCGGTGCTGCTGGGGGACTATCAGCACATGCCGTTGCTGCTGGGGGACTATCGTGTTGTGATGCACCCACACCCCCCCCACCACCACCTGCAGCAGCAGCAGCAGCAGCCGGGGTCTTCGCACCTGCCATCGCAGTACCACGCCCACCATGGCTGAGGGGTGGGTGTGCTGCACAGGACAGAGATAAGCGCGGCACACCATCATTTGTATGTGTGTGTGTGTGTGTGCGTGTGTGTGCGGACAGGCTGACGATTGAGAGGAGGCTGGTAGAGGCTGCATATGGATGGATGGGTTGTTCCGTTATCGAGACTGTGCGTGAGTGGGGTGTTTTTTAAGACCGATCGGAATGAGACCAGATCACCATTTCATGACCGTGATGCATCAGTCAGCCCACAAACCCAATACCCACGCCAGGCATTCACTGCTCAGTGCCTGCCACTGTGAGTAGAGTTGAGTCAGCCTTTGCCACATGCCAACACTCACTGGCAGACACACACCACAGCACAGCACTGCCGGCCCGCCGGCCCTTGATGGAAAACGCCGACCATCCCAGCCCTTAAGAGAACAGCCTGGCTGACCATTTTGATCAGACCCGAACTCACTCAATCACGCAAACCTCATGACGAAAATGACACACACAACACGCACACACACTCAGAGAAACACAACACTGCGGTGGGTTGAGACATCCATCAGACCAGACACACTCACACAAAACCCAGGCAACCGCCACATGCTCTTGTGTGGGGGCATTCACGCATCGGCAGGGTTGTGGGCAGCAGGGCTACGAGTGCTGTGTGGCAGCGTAATTGTAAGGGTTGTAATAATAGCCTCTGTACAGTGGGACGGTCGTCACGAGCGTCTCATCGACGGTGGTGTCGACCCCCACGACCTCATCGGTGGGCGGCACGCGCTCGCCTGTGTTCTCGAACCATATCAGCTCGGCCCTTCACGGCACCGGGGGCGTGTTGTAGGGGTACAGGCTGTAGCACAACACCTGCATTCATCGCACCACACACACGATTGAATGGCAATGTCTGCCCAGTTATTTCTTCCTTACCAGCGATACTACTGGGCAGACATAAGCGCACTCACACACACAAGCGTCTGCATGAGCTCTCACGTACCGTGGCTGCCCACCTCTCCGAGGATGATCACGTCTCTCACACAAAAACACACTCAAACAGATCTTTCGACGAGCGGTCCCCCAGAGACTCCGGGCCGAGACGCCAGCCCCCAGACGACCCCCCGAGAAAAAAGAGGGAAAGGTAGTAGTGGTGCGGTGTGCTAACTTTGAAAGCGACGGTGGCCTGTCTGAACGCACATTTCTCGACAATGCGAGACAGAACCTGTTGTCGAGAAATGGCGACGAATGAAAATATAATCTGTTTCCGGTGACTCCCTTTTCATCGCGTTCGCCGATGCTCCGACACCTGACACCGCCACCGGTGGGGTTGGCATTCAAGCCTGGAAGCAGAACATCCCGCGCGGCAGACACCAGGTGAGAATGTACATACATCGGTGTGCGTCGCCTCCTCTCTCTCTCTTGTTGGTTGCCTTACTTACGCCTTGTCGCTTCTTTGGTGTGTTGCAGCAGCAGGTCGACAGTGCTGCCGTCAGGTGGCTGCTCGAGGAGGAGCGGAGATTCTACAAGGGCATCATCTCAGACTACAAGGAGCAGATCACCGCCAACGCCCGATATGTGGAGCGGGAGCTGGGACACCTTCGAGACGAGCTGGGGTGGACAAAAGCCGACCTCGACGCGGCGCGCAAGGTGAGCAAGAGGCGTGGGCAGCGAGCGCAGCTGAGATTCGTCCGTCATCCATGGGTCGACTGTGATGTCATGTGTGGGTATGTATGTAATAATTATGTAGATGCGTCGCCCGCCACCAACATGCACATAACGGCTGTGTCCATGGGTAGGACTCTCAGCCAGGAGCTGAGAAACCTGCTGGTGGAGAGGGAGGCCGACATTGAGGTCGAAAAGGAGAAGAACGACTGGGCTGCGTAAGTCTACACGCACGCACCTACCCACACACACAACCGCAATGGATGGATGAATGAATGGACGACGCGTCTGTCTGTCTATGCACCCTGTTTTGTCAGGTTCGAGAATGAGCACTTGCAAGATCGCATTGCTAGCCTGACTGAGCAGTTAGCGGCAATCATGCGGCAACGTGACACACTACAGGTGGGTCCGGTCCCACACACAAAGCATTTATCTATCTTATGCATGATGTATGTGTCTGTCCGTCCGTCCGTCC